ACAAGTTAAATAATAGTTGAACGTAAGAAAGTGTGTGAAGCTGTCACACAAGGAAAAAATATCCCGGGCAAGAGATCCTTGTCCGGGCGGAGGCGGTGGCCAAAGAGAGGCCAGCAAACGACAGCGGCCCCACTTCCGGTACGGGGGGATGTAAACATGGCCTGAAGCCAACACTGGACTGGATGCTAGTCTTCTGTTATCTCCGCCAACAGATCACTGCCGTTGTGTTTATGTACATCGCTTTGCTTCAGCGTAAGGATAACTAGTTTAATGTCGCTTTCTTTTGAGATACTGCGATGATAGTGAACAAATCTCCATGGCGACTTGTCCGCGGTCGCTGCTCTCAGGAAATGTACACTACATACAGTATGATACAGCACAGCAGTCAGTGTGATGGATCATGATCACGTTATTGTTAGTCGCGTAGATAAAACGTTACTCAGTTTCTCTTGTCTCGGTTAGCAGACAGCAGACTTGCGTATTTGTAGTTTATTTACGGATGCGGGTAAATAACGCTGACTAAAATGGGGCTGAAGACTCTTGTATTTTGTATCCATTGTAAGTTAGTACTAATATGAAGCATTGTTTAGTACGGTGGACATGATTGCCATGATTAGATAAATACACAAAGAAAGGAGCAAAGTTGAACAGTCGTACATACAGTCCCAGCTCAAAGACAGATAACACTTGACACCGCTAACACACATTCCTTGTTATAGCCTTGGATAAAAACTAGACACTTGTAAATGTATTTCACCAAAGGCTAAACACAGCCTGTTGAATGTAAAGCTATGCAGCTGAAGAAAAACACTTCATCTGTGGGTCTACCGTGATAAAACAAGAATTGTAGGACAGCTTTACAGGATCACAGTTTCAAAAACAGGGCGTTGTGGTGAAAAGCCATCATCAGCAGCAGCAAAAACAGGATGAGAACCACATGAACTCAAAACTAAGACACAAATTATAATATACAAATAAATCATGGTTTAATAGTATTTTGTAATGATGTTAGAAAAAGAGTCTTATGTAGAACCTGTGTTATATGCATTTGAAACATGAGCAGTAAGCACACAAGGTGAGAAACGTTTACTTGCTGCAGAGATGTGGATTTTTAGAAGAATTAAAAAAATATAGAATGATAGAAATATAGGCGAGGCACTCCTTCTCTTGACAGATGGCAGTAGCAAATTGATTAGACAATGAAATGTTGGCGTAGTGTTTTTTGCATATGTTATGGGAAGGAATAGACTCAACAACTTGATAACAGATGGCTAGAATTACGGAAAGAGAGCAAGACGAAGTAAAATAAATAAATAAATTCCTGGATGGTTTGACTGTATGGAGGGTGGGTGAGACAAGAACACTGGTCTGATCTTTGACTCTGGTCATCATGTGATTGTGAGACATAACAACCTACACTTATTTGCACAGCACCTGATGATGATCAGTGATATGAAATAAAAATTAGAACTCAGAATAAAATAAAATATGTGGTGATTATTCTAGAGCTGGCAAACGTCTGTATTATCAACTATATGCTTGAAGCGTTGAGTTTAGTTAAAGGTAAATTATCATTTTGTCCATATGAAGATACAGTCAGAACTGATGTTTATGATGTAGCTGATATGGTTCTACAAAAAGTACAGTTAATCCTTTGCAGTTCTCCCTTTTTTTCTGACTGTCTGTCTGTATCTTTGTTTACATTTTTTCTAACTTTTTCATCTCTCTTCTCCCTCGATAAACCTACACACAGCTCTTTGTCGACTTGTCATGATTGGTTGGTCTGTGCAGCTAAGGATGAGGTGACCAGCTGTCACCAGTCACCTCTTGAGTCATGCAGGCTGGGTTACAGTGATACCTGGCTTTTAGGGCCCACGTTAGCTCACAGGTGATATATGAGTTAGCATGTGCATACACATATGAGCCTTCGTGTTTGCTTCAATAAAATATCTGACCTGAAGTACATACCGAAAATGTCATGTCTGTGTACAGGATATTCTGATCTTCATCTGTTTCCTTCTTTTGCAGATCACAGCCTGTGGGGTATGACACAGGAAGAAAAATGAGTGAAATATCTCGTTCTCAGGAGTATTTAAGTTTCAGAAGTTCCATTCCTCAAAGGAAGGTTAGTGTTCTCATTTATATGTCAGTACACTATTCCAGTACACTATACATTTTGCTAACAGCTATACCTTTTTACTCATAATAATTTCATTTCATATCCCAAATCGAAATCAAAGACTGAGAAAAGCATCAGACATAATAACACACAGAATTTAAAAAAAAAAAACGATTAACAACAAAACTCATGTTGTCTGTTACAGAAACAAAGTAAGCTTAACCTTTAGCACCCCACAATAAAAATTCAAATTATTTCCCTTGCCTTCCACCTTATTTTTTCACATTTCGCGTTTTTTATGGAGGAAACATGGAAAACACAATAACTTTTTGGTTTATGAATAGTTTTGCATAATTATTTAAACGGAAATAAAGAAATGATTTCTGCATACATTGATATGAGTTTTGTTGGTGTATGTTTGATAGGTGATGTGTGAGGACAGAGTGAAACGGGAAAAATGTAAAAAAAACAGTACAAACATAAAGACTCACCAATTAGTCATGCAGCTCCTCGTATTCCTTATCCTAAGAATCTGACACACTGGAAACAGAACTACCTTCACTTACGTCTCCAGACATATCAACTTCGCGACTGATATCGGCTGCAGTAACACCCAAAATCTTATCGTCAGAGTCAGAATCCATGAAGATTTCAGAATAATTAACTTCCATTTCGAAGGATGGTGATGGATATCGAACTGGCTGATAAAAATTGATCAAACAAACCCACTCTCGGCCATTACAGGAAGTTAAACCACTGTAGAAGAGTTATTTATAGTTTTCAAGTGACGTCACACGCGTACTCCGCTTAGGCGTCGTATTTTTCAACCATATATAGATGTCGACTATACTCGACTGTGGGAGGCTACGGGGTGGGCGGCGGAAGTCCAGTATACTCGACTGTGGGGTGCTAAAGGCACACAGACCGTGCAAGCAGTTATCTCATTTGTCTCTTTTTGTCTTGCAACTTGCTGCTGTTACTGTACTGTGTGTTATCTTGTGTCTACTCACATACCTATTGTAATTTTATTTTATCTTGCTTAAACTGAAATGTCTACTTCTTTCTGTTATCTGTGGTGTCATGAAACATATACTTCATTCTGTTGTTTGTGGTGTCATGAAACATATACTTCATTTTGTCTGTGGGGTCATGAAACATATACTTCATTCTGTTGTCTGTGGTGTCATGAAACATATACTTCATTCTGTTGTCTGTGGTGTCATGAAACATATACTTCATTCTGTTGTCTGTGGTGTCATGAAACATATACTTCATTCTGTTGTCTGTGGTGTCATGAAACATATACTTCATTCTGTTGTTTGTGGTGTCATGAAACAAATACTTCATTCTGTTGTTTGTGGTGTCATGAAACATATACTTCATTCTGTTGTCTGTGGTGTCATGAAACATATACTTCATTCTGTTGTCTGTGGTGTCATGAAACATATTGTTCATTCTGTTGTTTGTGGTGTCATGAAACATATACTTTATTCTGTTGTTTGTGGTGTCATGAAACATATACTTTATTCTGTTGTTTGTGGTGTCATGAAACATATACTTCATTCTGTTGTCTGTGGTGTTATGAAACAAATACTTCATTCTGTTGTTTGTGGCGTCATGAAACATATACTTCATTCTGTTGTTTGTGGTGTCATGAAAAATATACTTCATTCTGTTGTTTGTGGTGTCATGAAACATATACTTCATTCTGTTGTCTGTGGTGTCATGAAACATATACTTCATTTTGTCTGTCTGGTCATGAAACGTATACTTCATTCTGTTGTTTGTGGTGTCATGAAACATACACTTCATTCTGTTGTTTGTGGTGTCATGAAACATATACTTCATTCTGTTGTTTATGGTTACTTCTGACATCAACTCCCGTCTGTTGTCTAGCATTTCCTTAAACACCTTCTCTTGTTGTGTTGTCTTGTGTGTAACATGATGATGGTAGTGGGTGAAGCAGGATTAATGCTGACACTGAAAACTTGCTGAGCAAATCTGAGTTGCTGCAACAGGGAGGTAACTAGTAAACATGCTGAGCAAATCTAAGTTACTGCACCAGGGAGGTAACTAGTAAACATGCTGAGCAAATCTAAGTTACTGCACCAGGGAGGTAACTAGTAAACATGCTGAGCAAATCTAAGTTACTGCACCAGGGAGGTAACTAGTAAACATGCTGAGCAAATCTAAGTTACTGCACCAGGGAGGTAACTAGTAAACATGCTGAGCAAATCTAAGTTACTGCACCAGGGAGGTAACTAGTAAACATGCTAAGCAAATCTAAGTTACTGCACCAGGGAGGTAACTAGTAAACATGCTAAGCAAATCTAAGTTACTGCACCAGGGAGGTAACTAGTAAACATGCTAAGCAAATCTAAGTTACTGCACCAGGGAGGTAACTAGTAAACATGCTGAGCAAATCTAAGTTACTGCACCAGGGAGGGATCTAGAGAACATTTGCAGAGTTGTTTAGTTTGTTCCAGATTGTCATCCTTGGACTGTGAACATGAGCACCAGTTCTGCTAAACATCAACATCACATGATAGTGTGCAAGTTTGATAATTAATGAGGCATGCCTTTCTTGTTTTTGTTTTTACTGAGAACACAAAATCTTGCCATTACTGTCTGTCCCCTTGCCATTACTGCCTGTCCCCTTGCCATTACTATCTGTTTTCACTGAAACCATTTCATAGCTATGTTCCAAGGTCGTCAGCATTGAATATTACTGCTTGGGGAGCATTCCTATAGGTATATGTGTAGCCCCTGAGTGTTGACCTTCTCTTCACTGTTTGTTGAATTAATCTTAGTCTTAGTATTCAGTTTAACATACACCTTTAAAAGTCCTAACCTACTGTTTCAATTTGCATCAACTCCTCAGATCATTGTTGATGATGACAACAGCAAGGAGTGGACCATCTATGAGGCAGGCCCCAAGAGTGTCAAAAGTCCACTCATCTGTTTCCCGCCAGCCAGTGGCACTGCTGATGTCTACTTCCGCCAGGTGCTAGGTCTCTCTGCCCTGGGCTACCGGGTGATCGCTGTAGGTTTCTGGCCAGATATTATTTGTTGAAACTATCAGACATTTCTGTACCTTGTAGGCAACCATCAGACATTTCTGCAATGTGTACACAACTGTCAGACATTTCTGCACTGTGTACGCAACCATCAGACATTTCTTTACTTTGTACCCAACCATTAGACATTTCTGCACTGTGTACGCAACCATCAGACATTTCTGCACTGTGTCGCAACCATCAGACATTTCTGCACTGTGTACACAACTATCAGGCATTTCTGCACTGTGTATGCAACCATCAGACATTTGTGCATAGTGTACGCAACCATCAGGCCAGACATTTCTTTTCTTTGTACACAACTATCGGACATTTCTGCACTGTGTCTGCAACTATCAGACATTTCTGCACTGTGTACACAACTATCAGAAATTTCTGCACTGTGTACACAGCCCTAAAACATTTCTGTATTATATACACAACCATCAAACATTTATTTTCTGTGTACACAGCTGTGAAAAATTTTTTGTACCGTGTACACAACCATCAAACATTTCTTTCTTGTGAACACAGAAGTCAAAACTTTTCTGTATCATGTACATACCCGTCAGTCATTTCTGAACTATGTACACAACCATCAAACATTTATTTTCTATGTACACAGGCGTGAAACATTTTTGTACTATGTACAAAGCCATCAAACATTTCTGTGCTATGTACACAGCCATCAAACATTTCTGTGCTATGTACACAACCATCAAACATTTCTGTGCTATGTAAACAACCATCAAACATTTCTGTGCTATGTACACACCCGTCAGACATTTCTGTACTATGTACACAACCATCAAACATTTCTTTACTGTGTACACACCCGTCAGACATTTCTGAACTATGTACACAAACATCAAACATTTCCAAACTGTGTACACACCCATCAGACATTTCTTTACTATGTACACAAACATCAAACATTTCTAAACTGGGTACACAATGTTTGCCTGTTTTCACAATCATACAATATATGAACTGTAAAAAACAATCATCTAACATTTATATAACATGGTCACTTTAAACTGGACATTTTCAAGGCAAATTAGATGATCTTTAAACCACATTGCAGGCTTTTTAGAAACAAATCTGACAGTTTTCAAATCAAACTGGATACAGTTTAAAAAATTGTTATGAATATGCTTACAATTTACAAGAAATATATGCAAAAAAATATTGCACAGTTCTTTCTAAAGTTCTTTTAAGATAAGCAACAAAAGATGAGCAGCGAACCTCATTCTACATTTATCTGCCTGTGAATCCGTGGTGGCCAACCTTGTAGGACAATTGTTAGAGTTACTCATGGCTTGCTGGCCAACTAGCAGACCTCAGTAAGCATGTTGGCCGCGCCTTGTGTACATAATCTCTAAACATTGATGTAGTTATTTAGCAGAGATCTTTGCATTTGGCTTCAGAATCGCCTGTACACGTCATAATTGTATCTGACTCACAGAGTGTATTGAGAAAGGTGAAGAAATGCATGCTTCGTGCAGAGTGGCAAGTATCGCTTCAGAGGTCCTGGGTAGTTTGCATCGTTTTGATATTTTCTGCAGGTCATGCTGGTGTCTTGGAAAATAAGCAGGCAAATAGACTGGCTGATTCGGTACAAGTTATTGGTGAGCAGATGTATGACAAGCTAGATGTTGCGAGGGCCCTTTGGGAAGTGAGGAAACTTTGCGGAGGCACAAAAAGATCTGTATGGTCTGAGGAGAATGGCGCCATGGGGAGTTACCACTGGATCTGCCTGATGCTCAACACTCACGGGAAAGGCGAGACGGATGTACAGTCAGACACTCACTGGTACCATCAGAATTGGAACTCTTTGCTTGCTGCTGAAGATAGAGATGGAGCGCTTATGGTAGTATCCCGAGTGCTATGATGTTGATTCTAAATTCAACATAGAGATATTTTCTTTGGTAATTTCTCTGAGAATAATTTATCTCAGATGTGTGCAACAGTAGTTAGCTTAGACTTTTATGGTTAGTAATTTGGTTTAAAGAGGCCCAACAGTACGTCAGCCTAGCTATGTCCATTGACAATTTAGCTTTGATTTATATAGCTGTAATTTAGAATATTAGAGTTTATGGCTTAGGCGTAGTCCAGACATGCTCATAATTCCAAAATGCCAGTTCTTTTCTAGCTGCATTGATGTCAACAGTGTTGTGAAGCACTGACCGTTTAGACAGCAGTGGCAAACTACTGAATGTTAAATTGCCTAGTAAAATTACTTGTAGCCAAAAAGTGATGGAGTTTCCTTGCTTCTTGCCAGGTTGAATACCCAATCTACTGGACAATGAAAGAATTTCTGGAGGGCTTTAGGAAACTGTTAGACTTCCTTGTGCTGGACAGGGTAAGTGGCACGTTTATTCTTTAGCCTTTTTTTGGGTGGTCATTTTATCTGTATTTTCTTAACCCCTTATGTCTTTAAACTTTTACTGAAAATTATTCTCAGTTTTACAACTGGTACACTCAAAATGTTGAACTCAGTCCTTGTAGAATACTGCTCAGTCTTGCAGCAGGAGAGGTGTTTCTTGTGCCAGATACCTGGGGACTCTTATCAGTAATACCCAGCTACCAGCAGTCTCAGTGCATGCAGACACTGAAGACCACCAGAGACACGAACAAAGTTTTTGTTTGAAGCAGTCAATCACAGATTGGGAAGCATGGCATCAAAATTCAGTGCTATAGTCACTACTGTTTATATCTTCTGCTTCTGCGTGTATATATATATATGTGTGTGTGTAAAAAAAAGGGGGGGGAGGGGGGGGGGGTGAAATAAAGTTGTTGCATTATTTTTGTTTATAACATTTTATCTTTTGGTTGGCACATCCAGCTTCTTTCTAGACATTTTTTTCTTTGCTAGATCATTTTATAAGACATTCATCTGTCTCAGCAAACATTAGTCATGATTTTTATATTAGGATAGCCCTCATTGCAAATTCTGCGGCATGTTTTGTCACATTCCATGGCTTACAGCGGAACAGTATGTGCTATACCATAATTGTAATTCAGAACTTTCGGTTCCTATTTTCCTAAGTATAAGACAATTCCATATTTGCGACGCACCTTGAATGTGAGACGGAAAATTTGGGGACAAATATTATGTTTGCATAAAATCTACTACCATGGTGTAAGTAAGACACATACTGTTTGTAGACTCGACAGTCCTGGAAATTAAGTACATCTTATATTTGGGGAAATATGTTAAATCAAATCAGTCACATCTGTACATTGTAATCCACATGTTTGCTTACATATATAACACTGTTCTCAAAAAACAATCAAATAATATTTCTAAAGTGTGTTATAGAAGAAAGCAGCCCTATAAGCACGTAGATTTTCTTGTGACAGAGAATACCATATTGCTGACAGCATTGGTGGCAGAAGTGGTGACAGCAGTGGTGGCAGTAGTGACAGCAGTGGTGGCAGTAGTGACAGCAGTGGTGACAGTAGTGACAGCAGTGGTGGCAGTAGTGACAGCAGTGGTGACAGTAGTGACAGCAGTGGTGGCAGAAGTGACAGCAGTGGTGGCAGAAGTGACAGCAGTGGTGGCAGTAGTGACAGCAGTGGTGGCAGTAGTGGTGGCAGTAGTGACAGCAGTGGTGGCAGTAGTGACAGCAGTGGTGGCAGTAGTGACAGCAGTGGTGGCAGAGTGGTGACAGCAGTGGTGACAGCAGTGGTGGCAGTAGTGACAGCAGTGGTGGCAGTAGTGACAGCAGTAGTGACAGCAGTGGTGGCAGTAGTGACAGCAGTGTTGGCAGTAGTGACAGCAGTGGTGACAGCAGTAATGGCAGTAGTGACAGCAGTGGTGGCAGTAGTGACATCAGTGGTGATGGCAGTAGTGACAGCAGTGGTGGCAGCAGTAGTGATAACAGCAGTGGTAACAGCAGTGGTAACAGCAGTGATTACAGCAGTGGTGACAGCAGTGATAACAGCAGTGGTGACAGCAGTGATAACAGCAGTGGTGACACCAGTGATAACAGCAGTGACGACAGCACAGATTCATTTTTTGAGAATGAGTATCCAGACAAACAATAATTTGTCAACACTTAAGACCATTGCTTTGGTAACATAATCTATTCTTTAGCCACATCAGGAATCTTAAGCGTATCTTTTTTTTCTCTCCAAATATTACAGGTGGTAGATGTAGTCATATCCTACTGCTTAGCGAGATTACTAATATAAATCTCATGTTTAACCTAGTTACTTGTTTCTACTGTAATACGCTAGGTCTCTTTACACCACTTTCACCATTACTTTTCACTTCCTAGAGAGCCTTAATTAGGGCTAAGAATGCACCCACAAAAAAGGAAGGGGGGGGGGGGGGGGGGGGGGGAAAGAAAGAAAAAGAAAACTTGTTTCATAAACAACGCAACGACACACAATGTTTACAGCACCCAAACCTAAATACAAATGATTCTGTTCCTGAACTGAAAACATGACGCCAAAACCATGTTTGTGAGTTCATGCGCCTAAATTCATGGGTTGCCCCCAGATTTGTTCTGAAATTGTGTACCTGTAGGTTAATACCGGTATTTCCTTGGCGTGGTGCAAAATTCCACAAGCCACAGTAAATTGTGGGCTCTAATTATAGTAACAGTTTATTGTGTAGTGATGTGAATATTTGGCCACAGACACTCATGAGACATTATGCTGTCTGATTAGCCCTTTAGGGGTAAGATAACTCTCGGCTCACTGCTGTCTGATCAGCCCTTTAGGGGTAAGATAACTCTCGGCTCCCTGCTGTCTGATTAGCCCTTCAGGGGTAAGATAACTCTTGGCTCCCTGCTGTCTGATTAGCCCTTCAGGGGTAAGATAACTCTCGGCTCCCTGTTGTCTGATTAGCCCTTTAGGGGTAAGATAACTCTCGGCTCCCTGCTGTCTGATTAGCCCTTTAGGGGTAAGATAACTCTCGGCTCCCTGCTGTCTGATCAGCCCTTTAGGGGTAAGATAACTCTCGGCTCCCTGCTGTCTGATTAGCCCTTCAGGGGTAAGATAACTCTCGGCTCCCTGCTGTCTGATTAGCCCTTTAGGGGTAAGATAACTCTCGGCTCCCCGCTGTCTGATTAGCCCTTCAGGGGTAAGATAACTCTCGGCTCCCTGCTGTCTGATTAGCCCTTTACCCTGAGATCTGATGGGCATGCAGTTGCTGGTCATTGAGTCATGACATAGGAAAGAAACCGGAAATGTTGTTTAGAAGAATGTTAAGAATATCATTGACAGAGAAGACAGTAAACACAGGTATTGACAGAGAAGACAGTAAACACAGATATTGACAGAGAAGATAGTAAACACAGATATTGACAGAGAAGATAGTAAACACAGGAATTGACAGAGAAGATAGTAAACACAGGTATTGACAGAGAAGATAGTAAACAAAGGTATTGACAGAGAAGACAGTAAACACAAGTGTTGACAGAGAAGATAGGAAACACAGGTATTGACAGAGAAGACAGTAAACACAGGTATTGACAGAGAAGACAGTAAACACAGGTGTTGACAGAGAAGATAGTAAACACAGGTATTGACAGAGAAGACAGTAAACACAGGTGTTGACAGAGAAGACAGTAAACACAGGTATTGACAGAGAAGATAGTAAACACAAGTATTGACAGAGAAGATAGTAAACACAGATATTGACAGAGAAGACAGTAAACACAGATATTGACAGAGAAGATAGTAAACACAGATATTGACAGAGAAGATAGTAAACACAGATATTGACAGAGAAGATAGTAAACACAGGTATTGACAGAGAAGACAGTAAACACAGGAATTGACAGAGAAGATAGTAAACACAGGTATTGACAGAGATGACACTAAACACAGGTATTGACAGAGAAGATAGTAAACACAGATATTGACAGAGAAGATAGTAAACACAGATATTGACAGAGAAGATAGTAAACACAGATATTGACAGAGAAGATAGTAAACACAAGTATTGACAGAGAAGACAGTAAACACAGGAATTGACAGAGAAGACAGTAAACACAGATATTGACAGAGAAGATAGTAAACACAGATATTGACAGAGAAGATAGTAAACACAGATATTGACAGAGAAGATAGTAAACACAGATATTGACAGAGAAGATAGTAAACACAGATATTGACAGAGAAGACAGTAAACACAGGAATTGACAGAGAAGACAGTAAACACAGATATTGACAGAGAAGATAGTAAACACAGATATTGACAGAGAAGATAGTAAACACGGATATTGACAGAGAAGATAGTAAACACAAGTATTGACAGAGAAGACAGTAAACACAGGAATTGACAGAGAAGATAGTAAACACAGGTATTGACAGAGAAGATAGTAAACACAGGTATTGACAGAGAAGATAGTAAACACAGGTTGGAATGAACCTCGGTTAGGCATGGTTCACTCTCTATGCTTACTGCAACATAAATACTCGCACTGCTCTAACGTCTAGGACTGAAACACAAACGCCACTCAGCTTTCTTATACATACTATCAGTTTATTCAGTTCCACTTATTCAACATGCTTCAACAATTATTCACACTTTTATCACTCGCAACATATTCAAATACTGGTCACACGCACGACACTACGAACTACATCTTCTACTAATACAACCGTCTTCTCTGACTTTTGATGATCAACTGACCACAAGTCTAGCTCGGGCTTTCCCTCGCTTACTCGACTACCCACAAGTATCTCGTGCTGTCACTTGTAGCACGGACTTTCTGCTTGCCACAGTGTAATCGTGGAGACCATGCAAAGCAAGGTCATCACACAGGTATTGACAGAGAAGATAGTAAACACAGGTATTGACAGAGAAGATAGTAAACACAGGTATTGACAGAGAAGATAGTAAACACAGATATTGACAGAAAGAACAGTTAACACAGAGGTATTGACAGAAAGAACAGTAAATACAGAGCTTTTGACAGAAAGAACAGTAAATACAGAGCTTTTGACAGAAAGAACAGTTAACACAGAGGTATTGACAGAAAGGACAGTAAACACAGCTTTTGACAGAAAGAACAGTTAACACAGAGGTATTGACAGAAAGGACAGTAAACACAGCTTTTGACAGAAAGAACAGTTAACACAGAGGTATTGACAGAAAGGACAGTAAACACAGCTTTTGACAGAAAGAACAGTTAACACAGAGGTATTGACAGAAAGGACAGTAAACACAGCTTTTGACAGAAAGAACAGTAAAAACAGGTATTGACAGAAAGGACAGTAAATACAGAGCTTTTGACAGAAAAGACAGTAAACACAGGTATTGACAGAAAGGACAGTAAACAGAGGTATTGACAGAAAGGACAGTAAACACAGAGGTATTGACAGAAAGGACAGTGAACACAGAGGTATTGACAGAAAGGACAGTAAACAGAGGTATTGACAGAAAAGACAACAAACGTGGAAGTATTGACAGACTAAGTTGTTACCATATCACTAATCATAACCATTATACAGCAAAGGGCAAGTGATGTGTATGTATTTATTTAAATGAACAGAAGTCAAACAGCCCAATAAGCATTATGTGATGAAGTTTAGGAGAAACAGTTGAAGACACAGGCAGATCTGTATGGAAAGCTTGAAGAGCAACAGATAATAGCTTGATTGTATATCATGTGGCAGACAGGAGTACAAGGTGGTAATTATTACTGCCCACTCCAGACCAAGAAGAAGATGTAGGTTCAGTGTTGCTTTTTCTTGTGTGTTTCAGGTTCATATTTTTGGGGCTTCTCTAGGTGGATTTTTAGCGCAGAAGTTCGCAGAATATTCAGCCCGCTCACCTCGTGTGGCCTCTCTCATTTTGTGCAATTCTTTCTATGATACAACAATATTCCAGCAGACAAATTCAGCTCCCACGTAAGCTGCATGGCTGTATTTGTGCATATTTTGTTTAAAATAAAACATTTTATATTATTTAATTTAGTTTGCAACTGAATATTGATTGTAGTTGAAATGCATCATTACAAGTGTGAACAAAATGAAGTGCAGTTAAGGTACTTTTATAAGTGTGACACAAAGTGTGAAGTTCAGATGAATAAATCAAGAAGTGACATCTTTGTACTCAGGACATTGCAACACCTGCTCCATCTCACTAGCTAACCAAGAGTTGGTAGGCTAATGGTACCCGCTGCTACCTGATTGACCCTCTTTGTTGGATACCTTTCAGAATCTCTGCTCACATCCAACTGAATTTGTCTGTCCACTTTCAAGCGTGGATATTCTTTCTGTTCTCTTGCACTGTCGATTTGATTTCAGAGAGCCTTAACCATGTCCACTTTATCATAAAACAGTTCACAACCCACAAAGGTAGCAACAGCCAGTATGTCTTGTTAATCATGACCCCACACACCCAGATGTCCTAATGTTGAAGTTAAGATTCAGTGTTATCAACGTGAAAGGCTTGTATGACAACACTTTGCTGCTGAAAGTAGGGCCATATGGACACTTGCAGATATAACACATGTTGAAAAAGTCTGCTACTCTGGAGTGTGACAGGTTACTGTGAAAGAGTTGGTTATTCTGTTGAAGGACAGGTTACTGTGAAAGAGTTGGTTATTCTGTTGAAGGACAGGTTACTGTGAAAGAGTTGGTTATTCTGATGTAGGACAGGTTACTGTGAAAGAGTTGGTTATTCTGATATAGGACAAGTTACTGTGAAAGAGTTGGTTATTCTGATGTAGGACAGGTTACTGTGAAAGAGTTGGTTATTCTGATGTAGGACAGGTTACTGTGAAAGAGTTGGTTATTCTGATGTAGGACAGGTTACTGTGAAAGAATTGGTTATTCTGATGTAGGACAAGTTACTGTGAAAGAGTCAGTTAATCCTAGTGTACAAGTTACTGTGAAAGAGTTGGTTATTCTAATGTAGGACATGTTACTGTGAAAGAGTTGGTTATTCTGAGGTAGGACAGGTTACTGTGAAAGAGTCAGTTAATCCTAGTGTACAAGTTACTGTGAAAGAGTCAGTTACTCCTAGTGTACAAGTTACTGCAAAAGAGTTGGTTACTCCTAGTGTGCAAGTTACTGTGAAAGAGTCGGTTACTCCTAGTGTGCAAGTTACTGTGAAAGAGTCAGTTACTCCTAGTGTGCAAGTTACTGTGAAAGAGTCACCGGTTCCTGAAGCATGAAAGATAACTGTAAAAGAGTCAGCTACTGTAAGATGCCATGTCCCTGTAAGATGCCGTGTTCCTGTAAGATGCCGTGTCCCTGTAAGGTGCCATGTCCCTGTAAGATGCCGTGTCCCTGTAAGATGCCGTGTCCCTGTAAGATGCCGTGTCCCTGTAAGATGCCATGTCCCTGTAAGATGCCGTGTCCCTGTAAGATGCCGTGTCCCTGTAAGATGCCATGTCCCTGTATGATGCCGTGTCCCTGTAAGATGCCGTGTCCCTGTAAGATGCTGTGTCCCTGTAAGATGCCATGTCCCTGTAAGATGCCATGTCCCTGTAAGAGGCCATGTCCCTGTATGATGCCGTGTCCCTGTAAGATGCCGTGTCCCTGTAAGATGCCATGTCCCTGTATGATGCCGTGTCCCTGTAAGATGCTGTGTCCCTGTAAGATGCCATGTCCCTGTATGATGCCGTGTCCCTGTAAGATGCCGTGTCCCTGTAAGATGCCATGTCCCTGTATGATGCCGTGTCCCTGTAAGATGCCGTGTCCCCGTAAGATGCCGTGTCCCCGTAAGATGCCATGTCCCTGTGGTTTTACAGGCATCTTCTCTGATCTTCATTCCCAGGTTCTGGATGATGCCTTCAGTGGTGTTGAAGAAAATGGTCATGGGAAGCTTTGAGAAGAAAGCAGCAGACGCAGACATTGCAGACTCCATTGATTTCATGGTGGAGAAGGTAGGTCACATTGCCAGGTTGGTTGAGATACTTGGTCATGGACTGTGTGTTTTAAATCTAGAGTCATTTGCTGTCATCTAAGCCAGGAGCAGGGCCTGCAACTAAGATATATGTTTAAACATTTCTTTAGGACCAGTGTTCAGTCAACTGGTTTATCCTGTCTGGGCTGCTACCTATACATTTGTCACGCTGAGATAAAAAAAAATATTCATGGCAGCAGACCAACAAGGTATATCCACATTACCTGTTCAGCAACCAAAAAAGATCATGTCCTGTTCAGCAACCAAAGAAGATCATGTCCTGTTCAACAACCAAAAAGGTTCATGCCCTGTTCAACAACCAAAAAAGATCATGTCCTGTTCAACAACCAAAGAAGATCATGCCCTGTTCAACAACCAAAGAAGTTCATGACCTGTTCAACAACCAAAGAAGATCATGTCCTGTTCAACAACCAAAGAAGTTCTTGCCCTGTTCAACAACCAAAGAAGTTCATGACCTGTTCAACAACTAAAGAAGTTCTTGCCCTGTTCAACAACCAAAGAAGTTCATGACCTGTTCAACAACCAAAGAAGATCATGTCCTGTTCAACAACCAAAGAAGTTCATGTCCTGTTCAACAACCAAAGAAGTTCTTGCCCTGTTCAACAACCAAAGAAGTTCATGACCTGTTTAACAACCAAAGAAGTTCTTGCCCTGTTCAACAACCAAAGAAGTTCTTGCCCTGTTCAACAACCAAAGAAGTTCATGACCTGTTCAACAACCAAAGAAGTTCATGACCTGTTCAACAACCAAAGAAGATCATGTCCTGTTCAACAACCAAAGAAGTTCATGTCCTGTTCAACAACCAAAGAAGTTCTTGCCCTGTTCAACAACCAAAGAAGTTCTTGCCCTGTTCAACAACCAAAGAAGTTCATGACCTGTTCAACCAAAGAAGTTCATGACCTGTTCAACAACCAAAGAAGTTCTTGCCCTGTTCAACAACCAAAGAAGATCATGCCCTGTTCAACAACCAAAGAAGATCATGCCCAGTTCAACAACCAAAGAAGTTCTTGCCCTGTTCAACAACCAAAGAAGTTCATGCCCTGTAGGCCTTGGCCCAGCGCTCTAGTTTTAGTTTTAGAAAGAAAAATCAAAACTTCCACTATCATGAAAATGTCTTCTTAATGGGGACTGTACGTAGAACATTGCTTTGCCTCTCCAAGGTCAGAAAGTCTATGGAATGCAGTGGCAGGTACTAGAAGATTATACCTGTAGAAAGGATTAGGCTCAGGTTAGTCTTGTTTCCTCCATAAAGCTAGATTCCTATCCTTTACAGAACTTTGCACAACCAACACAAGCATTTTTGTTTTAGCTGTTGCCGTTTTTTTTAAATTCTTTTTAAGCAAATGTTTGTTCAGTAGTTTGCCAATGATCCTGAATGGTCAGTTCACTGTATCACTGTCAAAACCCACACAAGACAGTCTATGCCGAATCATCTGCAGCTGGGATCGAAGATGGCACCCCGGCATTACAAGCAGCATTTGTAATGCCTAAACCATAGAAGCCGACAGAATCCCTTCCTAGGATTGCGATATTTCATGGCCAACACTCCATGCCAGTGTCCAGTCACCGTATATAACCTCCAAGTTGTACAGATAATTATTTGATGTTTGTTGCCGGGGCCCACCATAGAAGCAAAGAATAGTAACACTGTCATATGGCATGCATGTCATAAGAAGCTGATGAGGGTTGGTCAGAGACTGACTCATTCCATTAAACAAACCGTTTGTTGCAAAATGTATTTTCTTCTGTGGAGTGACAGGAACAAACAAGAGAGAGAGAGAGAGTAAAACAGCATCATTACAATGACATGTTGAATGTTTTGTCCTCCAACAGCTTGATGGCATGTCCCAGCAAGCTCTAGCGTCCAGGCTAACGTTAAACTGCATGAACTGCTATGTTGAACCGCAGAAACTCCGTGACTTGGATGTCACATTAATGGATGTAAGTAGTTGGTTGTTCAACAAAACAGGTAACTTTATTTTCAGACAGTCAAAAACAAAAATAAACAACTACCAATGACACTGCCTTTGTTACCACTTATGCAGTGTAAGCAGGAGAATCTTTAAGCTTTAGGATTGACGGCCGTATGGCTAGTGCTGTTGCCACAACTGTGCAGGTGAGGATTTTATTTTGCTTCTGACAGAAGAAATCCCCAGCCTTAATGAGGATTCAAACCTGGATCCCCTGCTTAAGAGCCCAGTGTTCTAACCGTTCGGCCAGCCGCTCTTCTGAGACGGTCTGTATGCCTTAAAATGACCTTTAACCCATTTATCAATTTTTACAGTTATTGTATTGTTCACATGGCTTACTTGTTAAATTTGTTGAGTGTTTAATGTATTGTGAAACCTGAGCATGCTAAAAGTCAGTATGTAATTGATACTTGAATATGGGGACAACATAATATTGATACTTGAATATGGGGACAACATAAGATTGATACTTGAATATGGGGACAAAATAAGATTGATACTTGAAAATGGGGACAACATAAGATTGTTACTTGAATATGGGGACACCTAAAGATTGATGCTTGAATATGGGGACAACATAAGATTCATACTTGAAAATGGGGAAATATAAGATTGGTACTTGAATATAGGGGACAACATAAAGATTGATACTTGAATATGGGGGAAACATAAGATTGATACTTGAATATGGGGGGAAAAAAATTGATACTTGAATATGGGGGACAACATAAGATTTATGCTGGAATATGGGACAACATAAGATTCATACTTGAATATGGGGACAACATAAGATTCATACTTGTCTTGCTACATAATTACACGCTAGTTTCGACAGTGATACGGAGAGCTGACCATTCTGAAGCAGTGGCAAACTAGTGTACATAATTTGCCTATTAAAAAAAAACACTACAGCTAAAATAATGCTGGGGTTGGTTCTGCAACGTCTTGTAAAGGATACCCAGATAACTCATGAGGAACTTTGATTTTGGGACCAGAAACTTGGGAACAGTATAATATTATTCACGTTTTATTCATCATAGAATCCAGAAAACTCCTCCTTATTGTCAAATGTCATGATAGTTCTTTAGTCTGTCCTCTGTGGCATTTGAATCGACACACTTCTTGAATGACTGGACAACCATCTTGATCTTCAAATTATGCGAAGATCTTTTTTCCCAGGTACACATTTTTCCTCTAGTTGGTTTCTTCACACTGCCTGGTGGTGTCAGATTGTCCCCAAAAGACTTTAACCATTGGTTCCATTAATCTCTCATGATAATTTAAACATGGTGTGGCATGATGTCCCAGTCTTTGTTTAAGATGTCCCAGTCTTTGTTTAAGATGTCCCAGTCTTTGTTTAAGATGTCCCAGTCTTTAAGATGTCCCAGTCTTTGTTTAAGATGTCCCAGTCTTTGTTTAAGATGTCCCAGTCTTTGTTTAGGATGTCCCAGTCTTTGTTTAAGATGTCCCAGGCTTTGTTTAAGATGTCCCAGTCTTTGTTTAAGATGTCCCAGTCTTTGTTTAAGATGTCCCAGTCTTTGTTTAAGATGTCCCAGTCTTTGTTTAAGATGTCCCAGTCTTTGTTTAAGATGTCCCAGTCTTTGTTTAAGATGTCCCAGGCTTTGTTTAAGATGTTCCAGTGTTTGTTTAAGATGTCCCAGGCTTTGTTTAAGATGTCCCAGTCTTTGTTTAAAATGTCCCAGGCTTTGTTTAAGATGTCCAAGTCTTTGTTTAAGATGTCCCAGTCTTTGTTTAAGATGTCCCAGTCTTTGTTTAAGATGTCCCAGTCTTTGTTTAAGATGTCCCAGTCTTTGTTTAAGATGTCCCAGTCTTTGTTTAAGATGTCCCAGGCTTTGTTTAAGATGTCCCAGTCTTTGTTTAAGATGTCCCAGTCTTTGTTTAAGATGTCCCAGGCTTTGTTTAAGATGTCCCAGGCTTTGTTTAAGATGTTCCAGTGTTTGTTTAAGATGTCCCAGGCTTTGTTTAAGATGTCCCAGTCTTTGTTTAAAATGTCCCAGTCTTTGTTTAAGATGTCCCAGTCTTTGTTTAAGATGTCCCAGGCTTTGTTTAAGATGTTCCAGTGTTTGTTTAAGATGTCTCAGGCTTTGTTTAAGATGTCCCAGTCTTTGTTTAAAATGTCCCAGGCTTTGTTTAAGATGTCCAAGTCTTTGTTTAAGATGTCCCAGTCTTTGTTTAAGATGCCCCAGTCTTTGTTTAAGATGTCCCAGTCTTTGTTTAAGATGTCCCAGTCTTTGTTTAAGATGTCCCAGTCTTTGTTTAAGATGTCCCAGGCTTTGTTTAAGATGTCCCAGTCTTTGTTTAAGATGTCCCAGTCTTTGTTTAAGATGTCCCAGTCTTTAAGATGTCCCAGTCTTTGTTTAAGATGTCCCAGTCTTTGTTTAAGATGTCCCAGGCTTTGTTTAAGATGTCCCAGTCTTTGTTTAAAATGTCCCAGTCTTTGTTTAAGATGTCCCAGTCTTTGTTTAAGATGTCCCAGGCTTTGTTTAAGATGTCCCAGGCTTTGTTTAAGATGTCCCAGTCTTTGTTTAAAATGTCCCAGTCTTTGTTTAAGATGTCCCAGGCTTTGTTTAAGATGTCCCAGGCTTTGTTTAAGATGTCCCAGTGCTGACATGGTATGGCTTGATTATGTTAAGATGTCCCAGTGCTGACATGGTATGGCTTGATTATGTTAAGATGTCCCAGTGCTGACATGGTATGGCTTGATTATGTTAAGATGTCCCAGTGCTGACATGGTATGGCTTGACTATGTTTATTGCAGGTTTATGATGACTGTGCCTTATCTTGTGCTGTGAGAGAGGAGATGTGCAAATGTTATCCTGAAGCCAAAAGAGCTCATCTAAAAAACGGTGGTAACTTCCCTTATTTGAGCAGAAGTACAGAAGTGAATGTGTTCTTACAGGTGAGTGGTTTCAACCTCTCCGCAGCGTTACGCTTGACTTATGTCCCTATTGTTCTTTAAACATCTACAGTAATCTGAGTTTAGTTAACTCTTTGAGGTCATGAGACTTTGGTTTAGAGTTTTGCCTCCCAAGTTTTTATTTAATTGCTTTAATATTGAAAACGATAATAAACATCATATATGGTAATAATGAAGGGAGTGTTTACAAAAGCAAAGTTTGAGTTAGAAATAAAGTACTTAATTAAAAAAAATTGTATATGTAAATATACAGCCACAGATGCTTGAAAATATCAGCCCTAGATCCTGGATTGCCAGCATGGAAGAATTAATTCTTTGAGTCGCAAGGAACCCATCACACGCTGATCGGTAACTACACAGCTGCCCAACCGGTGCATGATGTGTTCATGTTTTTAATTGACCTCTAGCCAGTATAACAACACAAATCAGCAGTTTTGAATGGTATTTCCCGTTCTTAGTTTTCAAAGTTGCACGTGGTGAGCATTTGGGATATTCAAATTGTGGTTAAAAGCATAAAATATAGCATTTCTGTGAGCTTTATCGAGTTGCTAAGTGGTTGTGTAAAAACAATATGGCTTCCGACTTCTTCATGCTAACAAGATTTATGACCTTAGAAGCCTCATATTTAAACAAAACATGTGTTTATCAGGTTTATCTGAAGCTAGACAAAGAAAATTACAAAATAGACTTGTTTCAGTCATTGATAGAGTCAAACTTTGGTGAGGGACAACTCTGATGTATAGCTCACACAAAGCCTACAATGACAAGAAAGTCAGCTGGCACAGAAAAAATACATTTTAATGGAAAAAGCAATATTTTTCAGTTAGGTCTAATGCAAATTCCCTTATTGTTTGGGAACATGGTCTGTAAAAACTCGGGCAAACTAAGTTCTTTTTGTTGTTGTTGTAGAAACTACTTATTGTCTGTCTGCTGATATCTGAGTAAGGTTTGCCTGGAAGAGTTAGAGCTAGCAACTACCGGTCTGCTGATATCTGAGTAAGGTTTGCCTGGAAGAGTTAAAGCTAGCAACTACCGGTCTGCTGATATCTGAGTAAGGTTTGCCTGGAAGAGTTAAAGCTAGCAACTACCGGTCTGCTGATATCTGAGTAAGGTTTGCCTGGAAGAGTTAGAGCTAGCAACTACCGGTCTGCTGATATCTGAGTAAGGTTTGCCTGGAAGAGTTAGAGCTAGCAACTACAGGTCTGCTGATATCTGAGTAAGGTTTGCCTGGAAGAGTTAGAGCTAGCAACTACCTGTCTGCTGATATCTGAGTAAGGTTTGCCTGGAAGAGTTAGAGCTAGCAACTACCAGACTGCTGATATCTGAGTAAGGTTTGCCTGGAAGAGTTAAAGCTAGCAACTACCGGTCTGCTGATATCTCAGTAAGGTTTGCCTGGAAGAGTTAAAGCTAGCAACTACCGGTCTGCTGATATCTCAGTAAGGTTTGTCTGGAAGAGTTAAAGCTAGCAACTACCGGTCTGCTGATATCTCAGTAAGGTTTGACTGGAAGAGTTTAAGCTAGCAACTACTGTTCTGCTGATATCTAAGTGAGGTTTTCCTGGAAGAGTTTAAGCTAGCAACTACTGGTCTGCTGATATCTGAGTAAGGTTTGACTGGAAGAGTTTAAGCTAGCAACTACTGTTCTGCTGATATCTGAGTAAGGTTTGTCTGGAAGAGTTTAAGCTAGCAACTACCGGTCTGCTGATATCTGAGTCAGGTTTTGCTTGAAGAGTTGAAGCTAGCAACTACCTGTCTGCTGATATCTGAGTAAGGTTTGCCTGGAAGAGTTAAAGCTAGCAACTACCGGTCTGCTGATATCTCAGTAAGGTTTGCCTGGAAGAGTTAAAGCTAGCAACTACCGGTCTGCTGATATCTCAGTAAGGTTTGTCTGGAAGAGTTAAAGCTAGCAACTACCGGTCTGCTGATATCTCAGTAAGGTTTGACTGGAAGAGTTTAAGCTAGCAACTACTGTTCTGCTGATATCTAAGTGAGGTTTTCCTGGAAGAGTTTAAGCTAGCAACTACTGGTCTGCTGATATCTGAGTAAGGTTTGACTGGAAGAGTTTAAGCTAGCAACTACTGTTCTGCTGATATCTGAGTAAGGTTTGTCTGGAAGAGTTTAAGCTAGCAACTACCGGTCTGTTGATATCTGAGTCAGGTTTTGCTTGAAGAGTTGAAGCTAGCAACTACCTGTCTGCTGATATCTGAGTAAGGTTTGCCTGGAAGAGTTAAAGCTAGCAACTACCGGTCTGCTGATATCTGAGTGAGGTTTTCCTGGAAGAGTTAAAGCTAGCAACTACCTGTCTGCTGATATCTCAGTAAGGTTTGCCTGGAAGAGTTAAAGCTAGCAACTACCTGTCTGCTGATATCTCAGTAAGGTTTGCCTAGAAGAGTTAAAGCTAGCAACTACCAGTCTGCAGATATCTGAGTGAGGTTTGACTGGTAGAGTTAAAGCTAGCAACTACTGGTCTGCTGTTATCTCAGTAAGGTTTGCCTGGAAGAGTTAAAGCTAGCAACTACCAGTCTGCAGATATCTGAGTGAGGTTTGCCTGGAAAAGTTAAAGCTAGCAACTACCTGTCTGCTGATATCTCAGTAAGGTTTGCCTGGAAGAGTTAAAGCTAGCAACTACCGGTCTGCAGATATCTGAGTGAGGTTTGACTGGAAGAGTTAAAGCTAGCAACTACCAGTCTGCTGATATCTCAGTAAGGTTTGCCTATAAGAGTTAAAGCTAGCAACTACCAGTCTGCAGATATCTGAGTGAGGTTTGACTGGTAGAGTTAAAGCTAGCAACTACTGGTCTGCTGTTATCTCAGTAAGGTTTGCCTGGAAGAGTTAAAGCTAGCAACTACCAGTCTGCAGATATCTGAGTGAGGTTTGCCTGGAAGAGTTAAAGCTAGCAACTACCTGTCTGCTGATATCTCAGTAAGGTTTGCCTGGAAGAGTTAAAGCTAGCAACTACCGGTCTGCTGATATCTGAGTGAGGTTTGACTGGAAGAGTTAAAGCTAGCAACTACCAGTCTGCTGATATCTGAGTGGGGTTTGACTGGTATGGACCTGACTTAGGCCACAAACGTTTTCCTCAATTCTTTATATTTTGGACTGCTAGCAGTTTATGAGAGGATGGGAAGGGGCCTCGTTGTAGTCCAACATTGTTTTCCCTAATTCTTTCTATTTTGGACTGCTAGCAGTTTATGAGAGGATGAGAAGGGGCCCCGTTGTAGTCCAACATTGTTTTCCTCAATTCTTTATATTTTGGACTGCTAGCAGTTTATGAGAGGATGGGAAGGGGCCCCGTTGTAGTCCAACATTTTTTTCCCTAATTCTTTATATTTTGGACTGCTAGCAGTTTATGAGAAGATGGGAAGGGGCCCCGTTGTAGTCCAACATTTTTTTCCCTAATTCTTTATATTTTGGACTGCTAGCAGTTTATGAGAAGATGGGAAGGGGCCCCGTTGTGGTCCAACATTTTTTTCCCTAATTCTTTATATTTTGGACTGCTAGCAGTTTATGAGAAGATGGGAAGGGGCCCCGTTGTAGTCCAACATTGTTTTCCTTAATTCTTCACATTGTGGAAATTCATGCAATGATTTGTCTTAGTATTTCTTTTGTCTGTAGATCCACCTGCTACATCTGTATGTTTGTCTGTAGATCCACCTGCTACATCTGTATGTTTGTCTGTAGATCCACCTGCTACATCTGTATGTATGTCTGTAGATCCACCTGCTACATCTGTATGTATGTCTGTAGATCCACCTGCTACATCTGTATGTTTGTCTGTAGATCCACCTGCTACATCTGTATGTATGTCTGTAGATCCACCTGCTACATCTGTATGTATGTCTGTAGATCCACCTGCTACATCTGTATGTATGTCTGTAGATCCACCTGCTACATCTGTATGTATGTCTGTAGATCCACCTGCTACATCTGTATGTATGTCTGTAGATCCACCTGCTACATCTGTATGTATGTCTGTAGATCCACCTGCTACATCTGTATGTATGTCTGTAGATCCACCTGCTACATCTGTATGTATGTCTGTAGATCCACCTGCTACATCTGTATGTATGTCTGTAGATCCACCTGCTACATCTGTATGTATGTCTGCAGATCCACCTGCTACATCTGTATGTATGTCTGTAGATCCACCTGCTACATCTGTATGTATGTCTGCAGATCCACCTGCTACATCTGTATGTATGTCTGTAGATCCACCTGCTACATCTGCATGTATGTCTGTAGATCCACCTGCTACATCTGTATGTATGTCTGTAGATCCACCTGCTACATCTGCATGTATGTCTGTAGATTCACCTGCTACATCTGCATGTATGTCTGTAGATCCACCTGCTACATCTGTATGTATGTCTGTAGATCCACCTGCTACATCTGTATGTATGTCTGGAGATCCACCTACATCTATCTATATGTATGTTTGCAGATATTCACCTGCTACATGTGAATGTTTATCTGCAGATCCACCTACGAAAGTATGACCTTGGTCCTTACCGTGCTCGAGAGTTGACGGAGGATGAGAAATCGTTGTTGATCCAAGCCAGTGGTGGCCAGGAAGCCTAGAATTGGAGAAAACTGTTTCACTTCAGCTTTTGTTTAAACAGACTTTAGCTAAATATTGGCTGCAGCAGACACTGAAATGAAGCTTCATTATTACCTTGCAATACTGTCCCTGTTGGACACAGTTCTTTCGAATAAGTACACTGACATACACCAGCTTGTTGAATGTGCATGAGGTGGACACACATATTTCTGTTTTATTATTGCTTGAATGCTCTCTATTTATGTCATTATCGTAACAACATGTAACAGTTTGTTCATATGATGATTAACAATGTCACATAAGCATTTCTTCATTCAATAATGAACATTCCTTACTTGTACTATATATACTGTGCTAGAGAATCCTGGTTGCAATCAGTGATATTAAATCTGTTAATATACTAATAATATATTGCATTTCTGTGGAGAGAAATTTTGGATATTTCACATGTTGTAGACAGAACTGGGTGTTGGTACACATCATGGTTAGGGTAGGCAGACAGAAGTTGTCAGGAACCATGCAGGGTTAGGGTAGGCAGACAGAAGTTGTCAGGAACCATGCAGGGTTAGGATAGGCAGACAAAAGTTGGCAGGAACCATGCAGGGTTAGGGTGGGCAGACAAAAGTTGGCAGGAACCATGCAGGGTTAGGGTAGGCAGACAAAAGTTGTCAGGAACCATGCAGGGTTAGGGTAGGCAGACAAAAGTTGGCAGGAACCATGCAGGGTTGGAGTAGGCAGACAAAAGTTGGCAGGAACCATGCAGAGTTAGGGTAAGCAGACAGAAGTTGTCAGGAACCATGCAGGGTTAGAGTAGGCAGACAGAAGTTGTCAGGAACCATGCAGAGTTAGGGTAGGCAGACAAAAGTTGTCAGGAACCATGCAGGGTTAGAGTAGGCAGACAGAAGTTGTCAGGAACCATGCAGGGTTAGAGTAGGCAGACAAAAGTTGTCAGGAACCATGCAGGGTTAGGGTAGGCAGACAGAAGTTGTCAGGAACCATGCAGGGTTAGAGTAGGCAGACAGAAGTTGTCAGGAACCATGCAGGGTTAGGGTAGGCAGACAAAAGTTGTCAGGAACCATGCAGGGTTAGAGTAGGCAGACAGAAGTTGTCAGGAACCATGCAGGGTTAGAGTAGGCAGACAAAAGTTGTCAGGAACCATGCAGGGTTAGGGTAGGCAGACAGAAGTTGTCAGGAACCATGCAGGGTTAGAGTAGGCAGACAGAAGTTGTCAGGAACCATGCAGGGTTAGGGTAGGCAGACAAAAGTTGGCAGGAACCATGCAGGGTTAGGGTAGGCAGACAGAAGTTGTCAGGAACCATGCAGGGTTAGGGTAGGCAGACAAAAGTTGGCAGGAACCATGCAAGGTTAGGGTAGGCAGACAAAAGTTGTCAGGAACCATGCAGGGTTAGGGTAGGGTCTAGGTTCGACACTGTTGGTATAAAGTTGGCCAAACAATAGTTCTTAAAAGATTTGCCTTGGTAGTTTGAGGTATTCTTCTGTGTGCCAAAGGTGGATTTAATTGTCCCTTTACCTGGTTTGCTTTATCACACAGTCTGTTGATTTATCTGTCCATTATTCCTTCTGATGTGATAATTGACCCTAGGTATTTCAATTGATCTCTGTGACATGTACAGTTGTTGAAATTATTTCTGATTGCCTACCTACCTACCTATCACTTTTGTTCCTGATGCTTCTGTGGCAATGCTATTCAACTGGCGGCCCGCAGAGGTTTAGCAAATATCACAGATCATTGCCAATTATATTGTTTTGTTGCTGGAACTGGATCATCCAGCCTGTGACAATCCTCTCTGGATGCTGAGTTGAATAGCCCGCCCTGTTCTAAACTAAGGCCAGTATGTGTAGGTGGCAGCACTAAACACATGAGCTCCTATTGGTCGTTACCAGTCAGCTTGCATACATAGATCCAGCATTCTTTACGAGGAAAAAATCTTCTTTGCATTCATTGCAGCAAGCAAGACAGAAGCACATCTGCAATATGTTGACTTAGCCAGATTTTGCAATATCATGCGTGTGTTCTGATGTCCTTGACAGTATCAATAACAATAATACTCCCAGAACAAATGCTCAGAAAACATGTAACCTGGTCAGCTATGGGACAGCCTGTATGAGAAAACCGGTTGTAACCTGGTCAGCTATAGGACTGCCTGTATGAGAAAACCGGTTGTAACCTGGTCAGCTATGGGACAGCCTGTATAAGTATGATTGCTGTTAGTGACTGTCAGCTGTTTATATCGCACGATTGATTATATATGAAAATATACAACAATGTAAAAGTTGTTTGCAAGATCTCTTAATGATTGTATTTTAAAAGCACAGATGACACTTGACGGGTCACCTGAGATGGCTTCTGTTGCAGGCCACATCAAGTGACCCGTGATTTGATGGGTTAAGTCTGAAAATCTCATGAGCAAAAGTGAATGTGTACTCAGAGTTCTCTTGTCTCATGAACTTGATAAGTTCTCTCTCATCCAGCTGGCATTATCATTTTTCTGGTAACGCTCTTCGTTGCACTATTGTTGTTTAAGGATTAAGCCCATGTTAATTACTACTTTATCATGGCTGAGTTCCTGCTAAGTCAGTGATTCGGGGTGTGGTCCCTGTCAGTGGCCAGATACTGGTCCTTGCACAGGTGACCCAGTCTCAGTCATCTCATTGTTTTCAGAAAATGGTAATGGCAGTCCCAGATGCTGCTGTTTTGGTGAAGGTTTAGGGAGTGTCATCATAACATATTCATGATGCACTGTAGGGAGTGTCATCATCACATATTCATGATGCTCTGTAGGGAGTGTCATCATCACATATTCATGATGCTCTGTAGGGAGTGTCATCATCACATATTCATGATGCACTGTAGGGAGTGTCATCATCACATATTCATGATGCTCTGTAGGGAGTGTCATCATCACATATTCATGATGCTCTGTAGGGAGTGTCATCATCACATATTCATGATGCACTGTAGGGAGTGTCATCATCACATATTCATGATGCTCTGTAGGGAGTGTCATCATCACATATTCATGATGCACTGTAGGGAGTGTCATCATCACATATTCATGATGCACTGTAGGGAGTGACATCATCACATATTCATGATGCACTGGGTGTGCAAGAGCATTCTCAAGATTACTATGGACCCCTAGTTTATATGTCTGGCTCAAACCTCCAAATGGGTCCACCTGTTCAACTTCAACCCTCCAAATGGATCCACCTGTTCGACATCAACCCTCCAAATGGGTCCACCTGTTCAACATCAAATCTCCGAATGTGCCCACCTGTTCAATATCAACACTCTAAATGGGCCCACCTGCTCAACAGCGACCCTCCAAATGGACCCACCTGTTCAACATCAACCCTCCATGGGCATGGGCTGTCACTCTACACCAGTGGTCTGCAGTATTTTCTCAGCCCCCCCCCCCCCCCCCAACAAATGTAATTTTAAAAAGAGGTGGACAGAAAGAAAATCCCGAGTGCTGTAGCAAGGAACTTGGAGAAAAACACATAATTCAAAGTGTCCAATAACAAAAGAAACAATCACCAGTAACTGGTAATTGAGTGCCCAGATATCAGTGAAACAATCACCAGTTACTGGTAATTGAGTGCCCAGATATCAGTGAAACAATCACCAGTAACTGGTAATTGAGTGCCCAGATATCAGTGAAACAATCACCAGTTACTGGTAATTGAGTGCCCAGATATCAGTGAAACAATCACCAGTTACTGGTAATTGAGTGCCCAGATATCAGTGAAACAATCACCAGTTACTGGTAATTGAGTGCCCAGATATCAGTGAAACAATCACCAGTTACTGGTAATTGAGTGCCCAGATATCAGTGAAACAATCACCAGTTACTGGTAATTGAGTGCCCAGATATCAGTGAAACAATCACCAGTTACTGGTAATTGAGTGCCCAGATATCAGTGAAACAATCACCAGTTACTGGTAATTGAGTGCCCAGATATCAGTGAAACAATCACCAGTAACTGGTAATTGAGTGCCCAGATATCAGTGAAATGATTGACAGTTTTGTCTTGATGATACTTGATGGTCTGATGGACAAGTCACAATGGAGATCACTCTCCACAGCAGGCATGCAGTGCTGGTTTGTTTTCATGTTTGTTAAAGCTGAAAAGCCAGATTATTGTCAGTACAAATCATCTCTTTCTGGCACAGAATGTTATGTCTACATATGCATTTGTTTGTTGCAGTTTTCATGCATGGATTAAACAATTATCAAATGGAACATTTTAGGGGTATTGATTCCTGTCTGTGTAACTGTCTGATGTTAGCAGCCCACTGTCATTCTGTGAAGTGTCCTGGAGCCAGCCATGCGATCACAGAGTACAGCCATGGGATCACAGAGTACAGCCATGGGATCACAGAGTACAGCCATGGGATCACAGAGTACAGCCATGGGATCAGAGAGTTCAGCCACGGGACCACAGAGTTCAGCCACGGGATCACAGAGTTCAGCCATGGAATCACAGAGTACAGCCATGGGATCAGAGAGTTCAGCCACGGGATCACAGAGTTCAGCCATGGGATCACAGAGTACAGCCATGGGATCAGAGAGTTCAGCCATGGAATCACAGAGTACAGCCATGGGATCAGAGAGTTCAGCCATGGAATCACAGAGTTCAGCCATGGGATCAGAGAGTTCAGCCATGGGATCAGAGAGTTCAGCCACGGGATCACAGAGTACAGCCATGGGATCACAGAGTACAGCCATGGGATCAGAGAGTTCAGCCATGGGATCACAGAGTACAGCCATGGGATCAGAGAGTTCAGCCACGGGATCACAGAGTACAGCCATGGGATCACAGAGTACAGCCATGGGATCAGAGAGTTCAGCCATGGAATCACAGAGTACAGCCATGGGATCAGAGAGTTCAGCCATGGAATCACAGAGTACAGCCATGGGATCAGAGAGTTCAGCCATAGAATCACAGAGTACAGCCACGGGATCACAGAGAAAATCTGCATTTGATTAGGCTAGTGTAATGAATGTTAAAGCTGACTTTGCGATGACCGGGTAACAAACTCCTTGTGGTTCGGGTTCACGCCCGGGGTAGGCACAAAAGCCACATTTCTCTTAGATTTACGCTACCTATCATGGAATCAAGGCAGAAGGGTTGCGATATCCATAGTACTGAGCCAAAGGGTTAATCATGGTTCCTGATACTTTAAAATTTTTTTTATTGTATTTATAAGGCCTTCTTTAAATAGGCCACCTGAGGGAAAACAAATCTGTTACTTATCGGGAATCATAGCTGCATCTTTGACTTAAGAGTGCAGCACTCTAGCCACTTAGCCAGCCTCTAATGTGAGAATGTCGCAGCACTCTAGCCACTCAGCCAGCCTCTAATGTGAGAATGTCGCAGCACTCTAGCCACTCAGCCAGCCTCTAATGTGAGAATGTCGCAGCACTCTAGCCACTCAGCCAGCCTCTAATGTGAGAATGTCGCAGCACTAGCCACGCAGCCAGCCTCTAATGTGAGAATGTCGCAGCACACTAGCCACTCAGCCAGCCTTTAATGTGAGAATGTCGCAGCACTAGCCACTCAGCCAGCCTCTAATATGAGAATGTCGCAGCACTCTAGCCACTCAGCCAGCCTCTAATGTGAGAATGTCGCAGCACACTAGCCACTCAGCCAGCCTCTAATGTGAGAATGTCGCAGCACTCTAGCCACTCAGCCAGCCTCTAATGTGAGAATGTCGCAGCACTCTAGCCACTCAGCCAGCCTCTAATGTGAGAATGTCGCAGCACTAGCCACGCAGCCAGCCTCTAATGTGAGAATGTCGCAGCACACTAGCCACTCAGCCAGCCTTTAATGTGAGAATGTCGCAGCACTAGCCACTCAGCCAGCCTCTAATATGAGAATGTCGCAGCACTCTAGCCACTCAGCCAGCCTCTAATGTGAGAATGTCGCAGCACACTAGCCACTCAGCCAGCCTCTAATGTGAGAATGTCGCAGCACTCTAGCCACTCAGCCAGCCTCTAATGTGAGAATGTCGCAGCACTCTAGCCACTCAGCCAGCCTCTAATGTGAGAATGTCGCAGCACACTAGCCAGCCTCTAATGTGAGAATGTCGCAGCACTCTAGCCACTCAGCCAGCCTCTAATGTGAGAATGTCGCAGCACTAGCCACTCAGCCAGCCTCTAATGTGAGAATGTCGCAGCACTCTAGCCACTCAGCCAGCCTCTAATGTGAGAATGTCGCAGCACTCTAGCCACTCAGCCAGCCTCTAATGTGAGAATGTCGCAGCACACTAGCCACTCAGCCAGCCTCTAATGTGAGAATGTCGCAGCACACTAGCCACTCAGCCAGCCTCTAATGTGAGAATGTCGCAGCACTCTAGCCACTCTCTAATGTGAGAATGTCGCAGCACTCTAGCCACTCAGCCAGCCTCTAATGTGAGAATGTCGCAGCACTAGCCACTCAGCCAGCCTCTAATGTGAGAATGTCGCAGCACTCTAGCCACTCAGCCAGCCTCTAATGTGAGAATGTCGCAGCACTCTAGCCACTCAGCCAGCCTCTAATGTGAGAATGTCGCAGCACTAGCCACTCAGCCAGCCTCTAATGTGAGAATGTCGCAGCACTCTAGCCACTCAGCCAGCCTCTAATGTGAGAATGTCGCAGCACTAGCCACTCAGCCAGCCTCTAATGTGAGAATGTCGCAGCACTAGCCACTCAGCCAGCCTCTAATGTGAGAATGTCGCAGCACTCTAGCCACTCAGCCAGCCTCTAATGTGAGAATGTCGCAGCTCTAGCCACTCAGCCAGCCTCTAATGTGAGAATGTCGCAGCACACTAGCCACTCAGCCAGCCTCTAATGTGAGAATGTCGCAGCACTCTAGCCACTCAGCCAGCCTCTAATGTGAGAATGTCGCAGCACTCTAGCCACTCAGCCAGCCTCTAATGTGAGAATGTCGCAGCACTCTAGCCACTCAGCCAGCCTCTAATGTGAGAATGTTGCAGCACTCTAGCCACTCAGCCAGCCTCTAATGTGAGAATGTCACAGCACACTAGCCACTCAGCCAGCCTCTAATGTGAGAATGTCGCAGCACTCTAGCCACTCAGCCAGCCTCTAATGTGAGAATGTCGCAGCACTCTAGCCACTCAGCCAGCCTCTAATGTGAGAATGTCGCAGCACACTAGCCACTCAGCCAGCCTCTAATGTGAGAATGTCGCAGCACTCTAGCCACTCAGCCAGCCTCTAATGTGAGAATGTCGCAGCACTCTAGCCACTCAGCCAGCCTCTAATGTGAGAATGTCGCAGCACTCTAGCCACTCAGCCAGCCTCTAATGTGAGAATGTCGCAGCTCTAGCCACTCAGCCAGCCTCTAATGTGAGAATGTCGCAGCTCTAGCCACTCAGCCAGCCTCTAATGTGAGAATGTCGCAGCTCTAGCCACTCAGCCAGCCTCTAATGTGAGAATGTCGCAGCACTCTAGCCACTCAGCCAGCCTCTAATGTGAGAATGTCCCCGTAAGCCACATGTCAACCTAACCTTCTTCATTCTCCTATTGTTATTTTATTTATTCAGGCATAATTTAGTTGTGCCTGTTTATAGCAGAATTGAGGCAGTTGTGCCATTCAGCCGATATAACCATCTATTCCTCATATACAACCCAGCACAGATGTGTTTTCTTGAAGGCACTCCAACCACCTGGCAGCCACTGTGGTTTAGAGGCTACGGATAAGAAGGTTGTGGATTCAAATCCGAGTGTTGTGAATCCGAACCGTGCAGGACTTTTTTCCAAAACTGTGATGGCTCCCAGCCTTAGATGGGTACCAGACTAAAGCCCTGGGAAGTAAAGGTGGCTGGTGTGATGTTATCCACATCCATCACCCACTAAGTGCCGATTAGACTGTAACAATAGATCTAGCCTTAGATGGGTACCAGACAAAAGTCCTGGGCAGTAAAGGTGGCTGGTGTGATGTTATCCACATCCATCACCCACCAAGTGCCGATTAGACTGTAACAATAGATCTAGCCTTACACGCCAAATACACCTGAAGGTGTGGGAAAAAGGTCCTTTACTTTACTGCAACCATTTAGAGCTCTATATCCAAGGACAGAAAAGGAAACATTCAACAAGATGAACACTCAGATTGCTTCCTTGGCAAGTAAGACATTCCCAAGATAGTTTAAACCTACAACTGCTTAGGGATGATTTGCACCAAGTCAAAACAGAGTCAGAAAAGCAAAGAACTCAGTCATGAATGAACAAACAAGCAATCCATAACCCAAACTCTGTTTAATTTGCTATCCGCAGATGCATGTATGTACACATTAATGTAATATGATTTACATAAATCTTGTGCAAGTGCCAGCGATGCAGCAACCACAACACAGGCAACTAGAATTTGATGATCTTTTTCTTCTGCTTTTTCTTTCCTTGATCATCATCCTCCTGATCAGCAGCAGCGGCTGTTGGGTCTGCCTGAGCATCAGCGCTAGCTCCCACCTCCAGCGTGTCGACTGTCATCTCTGTGACACCTGAAAGTAGCAAACAGCTCAAACATTTGCCCAATCAAGGAGACCAAGCAAAGCTAACCTTAATATCATGTTCGGACTTCTGTTTAAAGAAAAAAAACATCTATAGCAGCGGTGTTTTTTTTTGCTGGTTGTCAATTCGCTTGGATTGTCCTGTTTCCTGATCAAGGACTGCTATTTTGTGCACATTTCCAACGCAGGACATTATGTGTTTTTCGTGGGAGCAGCCCGTATTGTGGTTATGCTATGTTGGGGCCCGATAATGACTGATGGTTTTGGCAGCCTCAAGCACACTGCCTTGGCAATGTTTTGATCGCAGCACCCCACTTGGGAACACAGAATCTCGTCAGCAGGGGAGTGCAACAGTCTAGAGAGCAAACCATGTTTTTGGTGGGGAGGAATCGACACAGTCTACTCAATGGCTATATCATGTTCAACTCTTGTCTATTATCTCCACTGATTTTATGAATAGCTTTATTTCATAACTTTTCTATACAGGTTATTCTGTACATCCTGTGATAACATCCGAAAAGCTTTCAAGTTCTTTTCAATTCGTTCATTTTAAGCCAACAATTCAGAGCTCTGACCTATATCGGCTACACATAAGTAGTGACTTCATTAACTTAGGATGTTATTTGATGTGGGGAATGTTTGTTTCTCTTGCAATGCTATTCTCTGTTTGTTGCGATCCTGAATCTTATTTCGGTTGCACATAGATCATCTGCAATTAGCAGAATCTGGCAAATCTAGGCTGGTGAGATGTATAGCAGGGTTATTCAACTGGCGGCCCGCTGAGGCCTAGCAAGTGGCCCGCGAATCATTGTCATGTGTATTGTATTAGTGATATTTCTATGCTGGAGTTCGGCCTTCTAGCTCCTGCCTGTCCCTTTTTTTCAAAATTATGGCCCCTGACTATCCCTTTTTTCCAAATTCTGGCCCCTGACTATCCCTTTTTCCAAAAATCTGGCCCCTGACTATCCTTTTTTCCAAATTCTGGCCCTAACTATCCTTTTTTTCCAAATTCTGGCCCCTGACTATCCCTTTTTTCCAAATTCTGGCCCCTGACTATCCCTTTTTTTTTAATTCTGGCCCCTGACTATCCCTTTTTTTTTTAAAATTCTGGCCCTTGACTATCCCTTTTTTTTAAATTCTGGCCCCTGCCCTTTTTTTTTCTTCAAGATTCTGGCCCTTGACTATCCCTTTTTCCAAAGTTCTGGCCCCTGACTATCCTTTTTTCTCCAAAATTCTGGCTCCTGATTATCCCTTTTTTTTTTTTCAAAGTTCTGGCCCCTGACTATCCCTTTTTCCAATATTCTGGCCCCTGGCTAAACTTAGTTGAATAGCCCTGTTGTATAGGGACTGCCACAGTTGGTCAGCTGATGGTTAGTGTGCTAGTACAAGTACACAGTTCAAACATCTGTGGCATGGCCAGTATGTCTCAGGGTTGACACAAGCTTTCTACTGCTGGCTGTATTCTGTTGACACTCTAGCTCATTCACCAGAATGATTCCAGGATGTGAGCTGAAGGCTGGTTGTTGTGCTGTAACCGAGCAGTCAACCATTCTGTCCAAGCTGTAGTCCACAATGTCCAGACAGCATTCTCAGCTACATTGCAGTCATAGCTCTTTTCTTGTCTAGACAGTAGTTCATTATGTGAAAGCTATGGTCTACAGGTCTAGACAGTGATCCATTATGTGAAAGCTGTGGTCTAGACAGTGGTCCATTATGTGAAAGTTATGGTCTAGACAGTGGTCCATTATGTGAAAGCTGTGGTCTAGACAGTGGTCCAATATGTGAAAGCTATGGTTTAGAGTGTGGTCCATTATGTGAAAGTTATGTTCTAGACAGTGATCCATTTTGTGAAAGCTGTGGTCTAGACAGTGGTCCAATATGTGAAAGCTATGGTTTAGAGTGTGGTCCATTATGTGAAAGTTGTGTTCTAGTCAGTGATCCATTATGTAAAAGTTGTGGTCTAGACAGTGATCCATTATGTGAAAGTTATGGTCTAGACAGTGATCCATTATGTGAAAGTCATGGTCTACAGGTCTAGACAGTGATCCATTATGTGAAAGCTATGGTCTACAGGTCTAGACAGTGATCCATTATGTGAAAGCTATGGTCTACAGGTCTAGACAGTGATCCATTATGTGAAAGTTGTGTTCTAGACAGTGGTCCATTATGTGAAAGCTGTGTTCTAGTCAGTGATCCATTATGTAAAAGTTGTGGTCTAGACAGTGATCCATTATGTGAAAGTTGTGTTCTAGACAGTGGTCCATTATGTGAAAGCTGTGTTCTAGTCAGTGATCCATTATGTAAAAGTTGTGGTCTAGACAGTGATCCATTATGTGAAAGTTATGTTCTAGACAGTGATCCATTATGTGAAAGCTGTGTTCTTGACAGTGGTCCATTATGTAAAAGTTATGGTCTAGACAGTGATCCATTATGTGAAAGTCATGGTCTACAGGTCTAGACAGTGATCCATTATGTGAAAGCTATGGTCTACAGGTCTAGACAGTGATCCATTATGTGAAAGCTATGGTCTACAGGTCTAGACAGTGATCCATTATGTGAAAGTTATGGTCTTGACAGTGATCCATTATGTGAAAGTTATGGTCTAGACAGTGATCCATTATGTGAAAGCTGTGGTCTAGACAGTGATCCATTATGTGAAAGTTATGGTCTAGACAGTGATCCATTATGTGAAAGCTATGGTCTAGACAGTGGTCCATTATGTGAAAGTTATGGTCTAGACAGTGGTCCAATATGTGAAAGCTATGGTCTAGACAGTGGTCCATTATGTAAAAGTTATGGTCTAGACATTGGTCCAATATGTGAAAGCTATGGTCTAGACAGTGATCCATTATGTAAAAGTTATGGTCTAGACATTGGTCCAATATGTGAAAGCTATGGTCTAGACAGGGGTCCATTATGTAAAAGTTATGGTCTAGACAGTGGTCCAATATGTAAAAGTTATGGTCTAGATATTGGTCCAATATGTAAAAGTTATGGTCTAGACAGTGGTCCATTATGGGAAAGCTATGTTCTAGAGAGTGGTCCATTATGGGAAAGCTATGGTCTAGACAGTGGTCCATTATGTGAAAGCTATGGTCTAGACAGTGGTCCATTATGTGAAAGTTATGGTCTAGACAGAGGTCTATTATGTGAAAGTTGTGGTCTACAGGTCAAGACAGTGTCCAAAAATAATAAAATTATAGAATTTACCTTTCTTTTTGAGAAACTCTGGACAGTCTCTCCTCAAATGTTCCACAGAGCCACACTGTTTACAGCTACCACCTGATGATAAAGCAAGATGGATGGTACAATGTCAGACATTCAACAGGAGCACTGATACTTAACTGAGGTGATAACATTTGTTCAACAACTGGTGTGTTCAATCCTGTACTATGTGATGCTCTGACTGTTAGAATACACATTTAAAGTTACACTGCCATTAGCAAAATTAGTCTGTCTAGCTGACAATATGATATAGGCTGCCACTTTTGAGAATAAGTTCAAATATAAAAACCTAATCACACATGAACACAGAAGATACGGTCAACAACTAACCCACAGATCTAGAATTTTCTGGAAATTGTCTTGGAAAAGCACCCACTTCACCTACCTAGTTGTGGTTTGATTGTAAAGTTAACGTAAAAAAGCTTTTTAACGTCAGTGCTACAGCAGACATGTGATGCTGGTCTCATCTTTTTATAGACCAGTTGGCACTCGGTGGATGATGTGGCTAATATTACGCTGCCGCATCGACTTCCCAGGACATAACAATGTACCCAGTTTGGTCTGGGTCACCCCGAGATACAAGGTTTGTTTTGAAACAAAATTGTCTCCACTGTGGATCTGAACCCAAAAACCTTATGACCAGCAGGCACACGGTCTAGAGTCAATACAGGTGTAACACTTCACACCCCAGTGTAGCTGGACTTTACACTGGGAAACAAGCAATATAATGAGCTATGAATCCACAAACAAGTCTGTGCTCTTAGACTATATAAAGACATTTCAAAGAATGAGACAAAAGAGATCTATCAAAATGTACATGAATTCTTTACTTCACGTCGCTGCTGTCTCTACTATGATGTGTCTTTGCTCTCTTTATTATCATGTTTTCCCAAAATAAGACGGGGCCTTATATTAGTTTCCTTCAAAAATTCTCTAAAGCTTTTTTCGGAAGGTGTTATTTTGTCTCTCAGTTTAGCTGATGATCTTAACTAGGGCTCATTCTGGGGTAGGTCTTATTTTCGTGGAAACATCATAAGTATCTTTGTCGTGGAAACATTGTATGTGTATTTGCTTTCTCTATTATGTTGTGTTGTTTCTCAGTCTCAGGGGGGTCTCCATGGTGAAGTGGTCAAGCTTTTTGCCTCACACTCTGAAGGTCATGGGTTCGTTCCATGGCTGCACCCTTTATTTCATTAGTAGAGTTTTTTACAGAGATCCCTAGGATCATCGCTTGAGCTACTGAGTTTGTGCTCTGTGCTAAGCACTTCGCAGGGGACTAGCCGATATGGGGAGAGAGACTGAGCCATATGTGATAAAACCCAGCATAAAGAAGTTGCTCCTCTCGACTTTAACCTTTTTTTTTTTAATTTCTTAGTCTACTATGATGTGTCTTTGCTCTCTCTCTCTCCCATCATTTCATGTTTTCATTCTTTCTGCTGCCACATGTCAATAGACCTACCTTTTGGGTATAAGCCTCTTGGATTGTCTGGACACTGCTTTGTGATGTGGCCTTTCTCTCCACAGATAAAACACTTGGCAAATGGGAACGATCCTGACAAGAATGGAAAATTTAATTATTTACAAAAATATTTATAGCAGTATACGTTGACTGCCGGAAAAAACTGCTGTGATGCTAGTACCATAAAATGCTGTCACAGTATCTTCTTTGGTTGTTTTTTGTGCTTTTATTATACTGCTCTGGATCAAGCCTGCTCTGTAAACCATTGTTCTTTCATCTACACACAGACAACAAACAATGATCAGTGCACACTTTACAGTTATTTCTATTGCTGCACTACTGCATCACCCACAGAAGTTCAAACTCCAAATCATGTTCTACTGGCTGATCATGTTTGTCTTGTAATCATGTCAGTTCTAGATTGACATCAGCAAGGTGACCATACCCACATTTTAACATATAACCTAGTATGTACCAAAACCCATCACTTCACATATCATGACTGAATATGAACTAGAAATCCATTTACCCATTGACACTAAACACAAAGTGATCATTATTTCTCTCTCATTATATATGTGATGTTTAAAACATGGAAGGGAAACAAGGGGAACCTACCCTTAGGAACTTTGGCTGTGCAAGAGTAGGCTGTGTGCTCTGTAGAACCACATTTGTAGCAACTGCCTTGCTGGCTCAAGTCAGACATGAATGGACATTCAGAGACCATGTGACCCCTGCTCCGACAATTGAAGCACACCTGTTTCATGCAGAAAATGTTCAAATACAGGTATGGAAATTCAGATTATCCTGTTAGACTGTAGGACTGAAATCTCTCCTGCACATAGTTACAGCTGGTTCAATATACAGGATAGGCAAAGCAGTCTGAGTAGCTTTGAAGTTATGTTTGCTTCTAGCAATGGTTGGCAAATGCAGTTTCTCTATATGCAATGGAGCCTATGGTTTTGCTGTCCAAGCTACTGAGTTAGGTGGCTGGTGCTGCACAGTGAGCTGCGTATTTCATGTGTAATGCCTTTCATCTGTGCCATGATATTCACAAAACGGCAGGTAGCCGGTTTGCATCTGAGCTGCAAAATAGTCTATGCAATAATACTGTGTGTGTATACTAGCTTATCGAAAGTGACTACCTACTTCCATCAACAAACTGCAGTTCTGGTGGTGACTGTCGGTGTAGGCATATCTAGCAGCAGCACTATGCAGTTAGTGCATGTTTCTGGATTTCTTTCTGGTATCAATTGTTTGTTCACCAGTTTTCAGACGAGACAGTGACAGATATTGTGTATGATTTCCACTGGCATAGAAACAGAGAAACCATTGGATGATCTGTTTGCGGCTAAGTTGAAACAGAGCAACCATTGGATGATCTGTTTGCGGCTAAGTTGAAACCTCGACTGCTACTACTACAAAGCTATAGAAGCTAAAATAGCAAAATAAAACAAACTTCACCCCCCCCCCCCCCCCCCCCACAATACAAGCTCAAGTACAATAACATTAAAATTTCTGCCAGCCATTAGGATTTCCTAAAGTAAGACTGTTATCAACCCAAACATTAAAATTTTTGCCAGCCATTAGGATCTCCTAAAGTAAGACTTATCAACCCAAACATTAAAATCACACACCAGATATCTCCAGGAAAATGGAATGACAAACACCGTTGACTCACCTTGGCAGACTCACGATCTGCTTGTCGCTTTAATCTTCGCTCCTCTCTTCTCTGCTCCTTCAGTTTAGCCCTACCACCCGCTGCAACAGAAAACATGATTAATAAATACTTAATTCCATGCACACTACATACCGTCTATCATGTGACACTGTATCTAGTAGTCACAGCTTTACACATAGCAATGCTGACACTGTATATAGTAGTCACAGCTTTACACACAGCAATGCTGACACTGTATCTAGTAGCCATAGCTTTACACACAGCAATGCTGACACTGTATCTAGTAGTCACAGCTTTACACACAGCAATGCTGACACTGTATCTAGTAGCCATAGCTTTACACACAGCAATGCTGACACTGTATCTAGTAGCCCCAGCTTTACACACAGCAATGCTGACACTATCTAGTAGCCCCAGCTTTACACATAGCAATGCTGACACTGTATCTAGTAGCCCCAGCTTTACACACAGCAATGCTGACACTGTATCTAGTAGCCACCGCTTTACACGCAGCAATGCTGACACTGTATCTAGTAGCCCCAGCTTTACACACAGCAATGCTGACACTGTATCTAGTAGCCCCAGCTTTACACACAGCAATGCTGACACTGTATCTAGTAGCCCCAGCTTTACACATAGCAATGCTGACACTGTATCTAGTAGCCCCAGCTTTACACACAGCAATGCTGACACTGTATATCTAGTAGCCCCAGCTTTACACATAGCAATGCTGACACTGTATCTAGTAGCCCCAGCTTTACACATAGCAATGCTGACACTATCTAGTAGCCCCAGCTTTACACATAGCAATGCTGACACTATCTAGTAGCCCCAGCTTTACACATAGCAATGCTGACACTGTATCTAGTAGCCCCAGCTTTACACACAGCAATGCTGACACTATCTAGTAGCCCCAGCTTTACACGCAGCAATGCTGACACTGTATCTAGTAGCCCCAGCTTTACACACAGCAATGCTGACACTATCTAGTAGCCCCAGCTTTACACATAGCAATGCTGACACTGTATCTAGTAGCCCCAGCTTTACACACAGCAATGCTGACACTGTATCTAGTAGCCCCAGCTTTACACACAGCAATGCTGACACTGTATCTAGTAGCCATAGCTTTACACACAGCAATGCTGACACTGTATCTAGTAGCCCCAGCTTTACACACAGCAATGCTGACACTGTATCTAGTAGCCCCAGCTTTACACACAGCAATGCTGACACTGTATCTAGTAGCCACAGCTTTACACACAGCAATGCTGACACTGTATCTAGTAGCCACAGCTTTACACACAGCAATGCTGACACTGTATCTAGTAGCCCCAGCTTTACACACAGCAATGCTGACACTGTATCTAGTAGCCCCAGCTTTACACACAGCAATGCTGACACTGTATCTAGTAGCCCCAGCTTACACACAGCAATGCTGACACTGTATCTAGTAGCCCCAGCTTTACACACAGCAATGCTGACACTGTATCTAGTAGCCCCAGCTTTACACACACAGCAATGCTGACACTGTATCTAGTAGCCACAGCTTTACACACAGCAATGCTGACACTGTATCTAGTAGCCACAGCTTTACACACAGCAATGCTGACACTGTATCTAGTAGCCCCAGCTTTACACACAGCAATGCTGACACTGTATCTAGTAGCCCCAGCTTTACACACAGCAATGCTGACACTGTATCTAGTAGCCCCAGCTTTACACACAGCAATGCTGACACTGTATCTAGTAGCCCCAGCTTTACACACAGCAATGCTGACACTGTATCTAGTAGCCCCAGCTTTACACACAGCAATGCTGACACTGTATCTAGTAGCCCCACAGCTTACACACACAGCAATGCTGACACTGTATCTAGTAGCCCCAGCTTTACACACACACAGCAATGCTGACACTGTATCTAGTAGCCCAGCTTTACACACAGCAATGCTGACACTGTATCTAGTAGCCCCAGCTTTACACACAGCAATGCTGACACTGTATCTAGTAGCCCCAGCTTTACACACAGCAATGCTGACACTGTATCTAGTAGCCCCAGCTTTACACACAGCAATGCTGACACTGTATCTAGTAGCCCCAGCTTTACACACAGCAATGCTGACACTGTATCTAGTAGCCCCAGCAATGCTGACACTGTATCTAGTAGCCACAGCTTTACACACAGCAATGCTGACACTGTATCTAGTAGCCCCAGCTTTACACACAGCAATCTAGTGCCCCAGCTTTACACTGTACACTGTATCTAGTAGCCCCAGCTTTACACACAGCAATGCTGACACTGTATCTAGTAGCCCCAGCTTTACACACAGCAATGCTGACACTGTATCTAGTAGCCCCAGCTTTACACACAGCAATGCTGACACTGTAGCCCCAGCTCTAGTGCTGACCATCAGCTTTACACACAGCAATGCTGACACTGTATCTAGTAGCCCCACACACAGCAATGCTGACACTGTATCTAGTAGCCACAGCTTTACACACCAGCAATGCTGACACTGTCTAGTAGCCCCAGCTTTACACACAGCAATGCTGACACTGTATCTAGTAGCCCCAGCTTTACACACAGCAATGCTGACACTGTATCTAGTATCTAGTAATGCCACTGTATCTAGTAGCCACAGCTTTACACACAGCAATGCTGACACTGTATCTAGTAGCCCCAGCTTTACACACAGCAATGCTGACACTGTATCTAGTAGCCCCAGCTTTACACACAGCAATGCTGACACTGTATCTAGTAGCCCCAGCTTTACACACAGCAATGCTGACACTGTATCTAGTAGCCCCAGCTTTACACACAGCAATGCTGACACATCTAGTAGCCTAGTAGCCCAGCAGCTTTAGTAGCCACACAGCAATGCTGACACTGCTGACATCTATCTAGTAGCCCCAGCTTTACACACAGCAATGCTGACACTGTATCTAGTAGCCCCAGCTTTACACACAGCAATGCTGACACTGTATCTAGTAGCCCCAGCTTTACACACAGCAATGCTGACACTGTATCTAGTAGCCCCAGCTTTACAGCTTTACACACAGCAATGCTGACACTGTATCTAGTAGCCCCAGCTTTACTAGTAGCACAGCTGACACTGTCTCTAGTAGCCCCAACACACAGCAATGCTGACACTGTATCTAGTAGCCCCAGCTTTAGCAATGCTGACACTGTATCTAGTAGCAATGCTGACACTGTATAGTAGCCCCAGTAGCCCCAGCTTTACACACAGCAATGCTGACACTGTATCTAGTAGCCCCAGCTTTACACACAGCAATGCTGACACTGTATCTAGTAGCCCCAGCTTTACACACACAGCAATGCTGACACTGTATCTAGTAGCCCCAGCTTTACACACAGCAATGCTGACACTGTATCTAGTAGCCCCAGCTTTACACACAGCAATGCTGACACTGTATCTAGTAGCCCCAGCTTTACACACAGCAATGCTGAGTATCTAGTAGCAATGCTGACAGCAATGCTGACACTATCTAGTAGCCCCAGCTTTACACACAGCAATGCTGACACTGTATCTAGTAGCCCAGCTTTAGCAATGCAATGCTGACACTGTATCTAGTAGCCCCACAGCTTTACACACAGCAATGCTGACACTGTATCTAGTAGCCCCAGCTTTACACACAGCAATGCTGACACTGTATCTAGTAGCCCCAGCTTTACACACAGCAATGCTGACACTGTATCTAGTAGCCCCAGCTTTACACACAGCAATGCTGACACTGTATCTAGTAGCCCCAGCTTTACACACAGCAATTTACACTGTATCTAGTAGCCCCAGCAATGCTGACACTGTATCTAGTAGCCCCAGCTTTACACACAGCAATGCTGACACTGTATCTAGTAGCCCCAGCTTTACACACAGCAATGCTGACACTGTATCTAGTAGCCCCAGCTTTACACACAGCAATGCTGACACTGTATCTAGTAGCCCCAGCTTTACACACAGCAATGCTGACACTGTATCTAGTAGCCCCAGCTTTACACACAGCAATGCTGACACTGTATCTAGTAGCCCCAGCTTTACACACAGCAATGCTGACACTGTATCTAGTAGCCCCAGCTTTACACACCAATGCTGACATCTAGTAGCCACAGCTTTACACACAGCAATGCTGACACTGTATCTAGTAGCCCCAGCTTTACACACAGCAATGCTGACACTGTATCTAGTAGCCCCAGCTTTACACACAGCAATGCTGACACTGTATCTAGTAGCCCCAGCTTTACACACAGCAATGCTGACACTGTATCTAGTAGCCCCAGCTTTACACACAGCAATGCTGACACTGTATCTAGTAGCCACAGCTTTACACACAGCAATGCTGACACTGTATCTAGTAGCCCCAGCTTTACACACAGCAATGCTGACACTGTATCTAGTAGCCCCAGCTTTACACACAGCAATGCTGACACTGCTAGTACCCCACTTTACACACAGCATCTGACACTGTATCTAGTAGCCCCAGCTTTACACACAGCAATGCTAGTACCCCACTGCATGCTGACACTGTAGTAGCCCCAGCTTTACACACAGCAATGCTGACACTGTATCTAGTAGCCCAGCTTTACACACAGCAATGCTGACACTGTATGCTGACTAGTAGTAGCCCCAGCTTTACACACAGCAATGCTGACACTGTATCTAGTAGCCCCAGCTTTACACACAGCAATGCTGACACTGTATCTAGTAGCCCCAGCTTTACACACAGCAATGCTGACACTGTATCTAGTAGCCCCAGCTTTACACACAGCAATGCTGACACTGTATCTAGTAGCCCCAGCTTTACACACAGCAATGCTGACACTGTATCTAGTAGCCCCAGCTTTACACACAGCAATGCTGACACTGTATCTAGTAGCTTTACACACAGCAATGCTGACACTGTATCTAGTAGCCCCAGCTTTACACGCAGCAATGCTGACACTGTATCTAGTAGCACCAGCTTTACACACAGCAATGCTGACACTGCTGACCACTGTACACTGTATCTAGTAGCCCCAGCTTTACACACAGCAATGCTGACACTGTATCTAGTAGCCCCAGCTTTACACACAGCAGCTGACAATGCTGACACTGTATCTAGTAGCCCCAGCTTTACACACAGCAGCTGACACTGCTTTACACTGCAATGCTGACACTATCTAGTAGCCCCAGCTTTACACACAGCAAATGCTGACACTGTATCTAGTAGCCCCAGCTTTACACACAGCAATGCTGACACTGTATCTAGTAGCCCCACAGCTTGTACAGCCCCAGCAGCAATGCTGACACTGTATCTAGTAGCCCCAGCTTTACACACAGCAATGCTGACACTATCCACATCTTCCCTAGTAGCCCCAGCTTTACACGCAGCAATGCTGACACTGTATCTAGCTAGCCCAGCAATGCTGACACTGTATCTAGTAGCCCCAGCAATGCTGACACTGTATCTAGTAGCCCCAGCTTTACACACAGCAATGCTGACACTGTATCTAGTAGCCCCAGCTTTACACGCAGCAATGCTGACACTGTATCTAGTAGCCCCAGCTTTACACGCAGCAATGCTGACACTGTATCTAGTAGCCCCAGCTTTACACACAGCAATGCTGACACTGTATCTAGTAGCCCCAGCTTTACACACAGCAATGCTGACACTGTATCTAGTAGCCCCAGCTTTACACACAGCAATGCTGACACTGTATCTAGTAGCCCCAGCTTTACACACAGCAATGCTGACACTGTATCTAGTAGCCCCAGCTTTACACACAGCAATGCTGACACTGTATCTAGTAGCCCCAGCAATGCTGACACTGTATCTAGTAGCCCCAGCTTTACACGCAGCAATGCTGACACTGTATCTAGTAGCCCCAGCTTTACACACAGCAATGCTGACACTGTATCTAGTAGCCCCAGCTTTACACACAGCAATGCTGACACTGTATCTAGTAGCCACCAGCTTTACACGCAGCAATGCTGACACTGTAATCTAGTAGCCCCAGTTTACACACAGCAATGCTGACACTGTATCTAGTAGCCCCAGCTTTACACACAGCAATGCTGACACTGTATCTAGTAGCCACAGCTTTACACACAGCAATGCTGACACTGTATCTAGTAGCCACAGCTTTACACACAGCAATGCTGACACTGTATCTAGTAGCCCCAGCTTTACACGCAGCAATGCTGACACTGTATCTAGTAGCCCCAGCTTTACACACAGCAATGCTGACACTGTATCTAGTAGCCACAGCTTTACACACAGCAATGCTGACACTGTATCTAGTAGCCCCAGCTTTACACACAGCAATGCTGACACTGTATCTAGTAGCCCCAGCTTTACACACAGCAATGCTGGCACTGTATCTAGTAGCCCCAGCTTTACACACAGCAATGCTGACACTGTATCTAGTAGCCACAGCTTTACACACAGCAATGCTGGCACTGTATCTAGTAGCCCCAGCTTTACACACAGCAATGCTGACACTGTATCTAGTAGCCACAGCTTTACACACAGCAATGCTGGCACTGTATCTAGTAGCCCCAGCTTTACACACAGCAATGCTGGCACTGTATCTAGTAGCCACAGCTTTACACACAGCAATGCTGACACTGTATCTAGTAGCCCCAGCTTTACACACAGCAATGCTGACACTGTATCTAGTAGCCACAGCTTTACACACAGCAATGCTGGCACTGTATCTAGTAGCCCCAGCTTTACACACAGCAATGCTGACACTGTATCTAGTAGCCCCAGCTTTACACACAGCAATGCTGACACTGTATCTAGTAGCCCCAGCTTTACACACAGCAATGCTTTATAAAGATAACAATCCTACATAAATCACAGATAGATTCACACAGAAGAGCAGATATCTCAGGATAGAAGCAGAATGAGAAGATTAACATAAACATACCTGAAGCTCTGTCATTTTTCATTTCTGCCCAAGGTGTTGGTTCATTTAACTTTCTGTTGTCAAAGCCACGCTTTGCAAATCGGGTCATTGTGTTGAGCCTGTTGGAACATTACAAGCCAGGTTATATTCAACACAGATGACAGTCGTGACTGCACAGCAGAGTGTTCTTACGGATGACAGTTGTGGCACCACAACAGACAGTGAGCATTCTCACAGATGAGTTATGATCGCACAATAGGCAGTGAGGGTTCTCACAAACATGTGGCTCATTTGAGCACCGAATATTTCCTGGATCACCAACTTTGTCTACAACCATGTGCGTGTGTTGGTGTCTGTGGCATTATGAATACACTACATAATTCTGAGTTATCTGGTAATCCTGAGTTATATTTCAGCTGTGGGAGAACTGACAGCAGACTGCCTTGCACTGATTTTGACACAGGGTACAACTCAACCATACATGCACATTAGCCAAATACCTGGTCATCAACCTGATCTGCACCACCTCTAAACTCACACTTCACCTGGATCACAGATCCATCCCTGCATCCCGACACCGCCCACATCTGCACATGCTGGCCAAGTGATTCCTGGTGATTTCATGCCAAACTAAACACAGATGATCTCTGTATCCTGACTGACTGACCCCACCCAAGTCTGGCTGTCTGTACCTGATTCAAGTCCTGCTACCAACTCGCACATGATCATCACATTATTAATGGCACACAACTCTTGAAAACAGCTAAAAACAAATTGGCTATCCTCTGAATAATGGTCCCAAATTATCGAGGCCGAAAATATACCCTAACAGGGCCTCAGTCACAGGTGAATTACGGACTTCCGGCGACTACCGCTATCGCCGAGTTATCTCCCATGCCGCTACGCATAGCGGGGCTAAACCAGATGGCTGGGATTCTCCAGCAAATAAAATGAAGGAAGCTGCAGGAGATGCGGGAGCAGCTGCTCATGAGTCGCAACCATCTAGTTTAGCCCCGCTCCATGGCGTGGGAGATACTCTTGGCGGTTGCGGTAGTCACCGGAAGTGCGTAATTTAAGTCGCCAGAAGTCCGCAATTGACATATGACTGAGGCCCTGTTATGGTATATTTTCGGCCTCGATAATTTGGGACCATTATTCGGATGATAGCCCACAAATTTGCCATCCTTTGAATAACGGCCATATATTGTGGCGTCCAAAAAAGCACCCTGACAGGGCCTCAGTCAAATGTAAATTGCAGACCGGCGACTATACCATCACTGCTGAGAGTATCTTCCGCGCCGCTACGCGCGGCGAAGAGCCAAACTAAATGGCCAGGACTTCCGCATCTCCTGCAGCTTTGCTCGTGAGTCCTAGCAATCTAGTTTAGCCCCGCTCTGCCCGCAGAGGCGCAGTAGATACTCTCGGTGGTGGCGGTATGGTCGCCGGAAGTCCGCAATTTACATGTGACTGAGGCCCTGTTTTTGGCCGCCATAATATGTGGCCGTTATTCGGAGGATAGCCCACCATTTAAACACAAGAAAATCATAAACTAAAATGAAAAATGTTTTAATTTAAATGCTGGCATGGAAGACAAGATGACAAGAGATATTAGATTCACAGAACAGAGATTAGTTCACTAGCCATGATGATGAAGTGTGTAGTAATAACTAGTAAGTGCTAAGTATGACAAGTAAGTAGTTGAGGTACTATAGTAAAAATTAACTGAATAGTTGACAAATACTATACTTAACTGGCTCTCCTCCGAACTTCTACCCCCGCATTACATTACAAATAAATATCCTCACAGGCCTCAGTCCAATTAAAAATAGGGGCGCTCCTTTGAATCGTTCCCCAAAATAGCGGCTTTAATATGATGGCGTTCGAAAGAGAGCTAAATTGGCCAATTTCTTGCCATTAAATATCCAAAAATATCCAAATGCGGGTCAGTTCTATTAAAAATATATGTGCCGGCTTCGGATAACGACACAAATGCTCTGACAGGGTCTCAGCGATACGGTGCTTGCCGACCTGCTTCTGCGAGTGTGCCTCACCGCCGAGCGTATCCCCAGCGCCGCTACGCGCGGCGAGGATGGGACTCACGGGTGGCAGCTACAGCATCTCCTGCAACTTCCTCCAATTACTGTACTCGTAAGTACCAGGCACCTAGTTACGCTTGGCGATGAGTTTAATCGCGTTTGGCGCATGCCGACAAGTCTGACATCTACCGCTGCTAAATCTTCCAATCGGAAGAACACAGTATTGCTAATCGCTTTCACTTTCATCATCTGTAATGTCTCGAAATTGGTCAACGGTCGCTAATATCGTCTGCTAGTATCGTCCTCTGCAGAAACGCTCGAAATTTTTGTCAACGGCCGGTATTTATCGTCTGCTACTAATACCATGTGCAATGTTGATAGTGACTGTCACGTAATCCTAGTGTTGCTGCGATTATTTGTCCTTTGGCAGAAAGTCCGTATTATAGATATACGGGAACACCGTCGTTCGGATATTTTGGGATATTTTATGGCCAACATGTGGCTTGCTGCCATTTTGGGGAACAAGTCAAAGGAGTGCGAAAATATGCAAACTTCCGGCGACGAATCGCAGCAAAACTAGGATCGGCTCCGTATAGTGAAACAAATGATCTAACAGGGTCTCAGCGATATGTAAATTGCGGACCTGTTTCTGTGACTAAGCCTCACCACCGACCGTATCTTCCGCGCCGCAGGGATAGGGGCTAAACTAGATGGCTGGGACTCACGAGCAGCAGCTACCGCATCTCCTGCAACTTCCTCCAATTAATTTGCTCGTGAGTCCCAGGCATCTAGTTTAGCTCCCCACCCACACCGCGCATAGCGGATACCATCGGCGGTAAGTGTAACCTCGTTTTGTGCATGCCAAAAAGTTTGAGGACAACAACGACGCTAATCTGCGATGGTGCACGTGGTCTCCTTGCCATGTCGCTTTTATCGACTGCAGAAAAGCTTGAAGGTGTCAACGGTCGCTCTTATTGTCTGCTACTATTATCTGCAGTGTTGTGTCACTTAAAATTGTCAGGTAATCAGAAACAATAAGAAACAAGTCCACAATTAACATATCGCTGAGAACCTGTTAGAGCATTTGTTTCGCTATATGGAGCCGATCCTAGTTTTGCCGCGATTCGTTTGTCGACGAAAGTTCGCATATTTTCAATTGGACAGAGCCCTGTGAAGATATTTCAGACCGCCATAATGCGGGGGTAGAAGTTCGGAGGAAAGCCACTTAATTTAATACTAATAATAGCATACTAGTTGATCAAGTTGGTTTTGAAATCGTTGCATTGTATATTTTTACCATTTTTCTTTCTATCTTATTTTTTGGCTCTACTGGCAAATCCGGACGAAGAATAAACAGCCTTGGACGACTTAGTCAGAGTTCTCTCCCTTGGCCGCACTCCAAACAGTGATAGGAAAACAAACGAAACAAACGACACACTTACCTATCATCCTGCGGTTGCGTGTAGGGCTGCGTACGGTTGCGTGAGGCATCGTGAAGGGATGCGTAGTCATCATACGGTTGCGTGCAGGGGTGCGTACGGTTGCGTAGTCATAATACGGTTGCGTGTAGGGATGCGTAGTGTTTGGGTTTGAGTTAGGGGTAGGGTTAGGGGTAGGGTTAGGGTTAGATGTGAAAATTTTGACGTAGGATTTCGAAATACTGGCCGACAATATGATGTTTGTGGGAGTGGCGCCACTGAAACTCTGCCAAATATGACGCCAATAGCGTGCGGCTGGTGCCCCCAATCGTTGGCGAATTGTGCGTTTGACCAGCATATAGAGGCCCTCGATTGTTTGTGTGTGTGTATGGGACTGTGCGCGATTATAGGGAACTCCGGCGTCAAAATTGTCAAATCTCACGCTAAACCTAACCCTACCGCTAACCCTAATCCTACTCCCTAACCCCTACCCCCTAACCACGCAAATTTATCGATCATTAAAGCATACAAATCGGCAAACACCAACAAACAAAACACATCCAAAAAAAACACCCAGACTTGTCCTGCAGCGTCGAAAAAAAACCCAGATCTGGGGGAAACAACCAAGCATTGGCAGCCCTGATGTCGACGTGACTGTCTTCTTTGTTTCGTTGTGGCTTTTCCGATCACTGTTTGGAGTGCGGCCACGGGAGAGAACTCTGACTAAGTCGTCCAAGGCTGTTTATTCTTCGTCCGGATTTGCCAGTAGAGCCTATTTTTTTGGCGCTCCTTTGAATCGTTCCCCAAAATAGCGGCTTCAATATGATGGCGTTCAAAAAGGAGCTAAATTTGCCAATTTCTGGCCATAAAATATCCAAAAATATCCGAATGCGGGGTCAGTTCTATTAAAAATATATGTGCCGGCTCCGAATAACGAAACAAATGCTCTGACAGGGTCTGGGCGATACGTTGCTTGCCGATTTGCTTCTGCGAGTGTGCCTCACCGCCGAGCGTATCCCCCGCGCCGCTACGCGCGGCGCGGATGGGGGCTAAACTAGATGGCTGGGACTCACGAGTGGCAGCTACCGCATCTCCTGCAACTTCCTCCAATTATTGTACTCGTGAGTCCCAGGCAGCTAGATACGCTCGGCGATGAGTTTAATCGCGTTTGGCGCATGCCGACAAGTCTGACATCTACCGCTGCTAAATCCTCCAATCGGAAGAACACAGTATTGCTAATCGTTTTCATCGTCTGTAATGTCTCGAAATTGGTCAACGGTCGCTAATATCGTCTGCTGGTATCGTCGTCGCAGAAACGCTCGAAATTTTTGTCAACGGTCGGTATTTATCGTCTGCTACTAGTACCGTGTGCAATGTTGATAGTGATTGTCAAGTAATCCTAGTTTTGCCGCGATTATTTGTCCCTTGGCAGACAGTCCGTATTTTAGATATACGGGAACACCGTCGTTCGGATATTTTTGGATATTTTATGGCCAGAATGTGGCATGCCGCCATTTTGGGGAATGGATCAAAGAAGCGCCATTTTTTTTTCTTTCTATCTTATTATACTTGAATTTTAATTTTTAACAAATAGTTGAATAAATTGAAGTAACTCAATGGTATTTTGATTTATTAGTATTATTACTATTAAATTA